ACTATGACTCTCTGGGCATTTTAATATGAGTACCGGAAGTAGATCATCTGTGGAAACCGTGAGCAAGCGAGACCGGCATCTACCAGGAAAATGCTAACGGAGCAGAGCGTAATGAACTCCAGTGAACGGAAAGCATTGCCAGAACCACAGTTAGCGGCGTATTAATGCAAAGAAAGGTATCCAAAATTTAGTGGCACAATCACCGGAATTTTCTGCTCTGTACATCTTTTCGATAACTAAATTCTGGAAGCTACTGCTAAGTAACTGGAAAGCATAAAAATATTTAAGTAACTTTTTTTTGCTTTTGTAATGCACTCCATTATCGGAAGTATTTTCTGCCCTTAATAAAACGCGCTGATGTGATCACTGCGAACATAAAACGGATAAAAACAGACCAACTCCTTTGAACAACAATTTAAATTTGTTTAGAGCAGATACTTTGTATGCTTTTAATGGCGAAACACCCTTAACCACACAAGGATAGGAGTACAATGTGAAGAAAGCCTCCAAGCCGGCTTATAGATGACAGTTAGCAAGACAGTTCACCGGGATCAACGCTTTCGCTCAGCACCGCCGCCGTTAGCGTGGTCAGCTGGCTGGCGTCCAGTTCGCAGAGGGTAGCCGGCGTCCACTTCCTGTAGCGGTACGGAGTGGACGAACGCAAATCTACCGACTGATAATTGTTCAGCATCTGCAACACACATCCATAGATTACGGCTGTTAATTAAAAAAATGGCGCATACATATTCAAATTAAGGTCTGTTCGCTAAAAGTTTACGGCCGCCCCTAAAACGTTTCTCCGTATCATTGCATTCTGTTGCCAGAAGATTCGCGTACACTGGCGTGAAAACGCTCCCGGCTGGGCAGAATAATAGTACCGTACACTCAAATGCCGAACTATTGCACAAACAGTCTTGTTTCGAACCGCGGAGGATCTTCTTGAAATAAATAATGAATGAATACACTATTATCACAAATTTGTTTTTTTATGAGTGGAATACAGTTTGTTGTTTGAAAATGCAGTCGCTTGCGCTTGTGTTCAAGTTGTGAATAAAATCACTTCTCAACAAGCGTTTGGGCGTAGCGGTGCGGCTTTCAACGTTCCACGATCGTTGTTCACCTATGCAGATGCATTAGCTTCCCAGCGGAACGTTGCATGCATACTAAACGCACAAAATCATTTGGTTGTAAATCAAACGCAAGATTATACCTCGTATTTTTAAAAGTTGTTTCAAAGGGTGTAACCGCAATTCTTGGAACGTACACTCAAGCATTCTTTACCGAGTCAGTTCTCTTCTACTGCGCCACAAAATGCTAACCTTAGTAATCGTTTCCAGGCGCTTCTCTCGCTGTTGCGCAATGCCATCGGCAATCCATTTCGCCACGGCTGGCCGATCCAACGGCTTCGTGAGGACGAGATTCTTCTCCACGAGATCCCACAGCTTCGCTTCGCGCTCCTCTTCCGTCTGGCCGGTGAAGGAATGGTGCGCGACGCGGGCCGTGATGTTCCGATCCCCGATCAAACAGTGGCGCCACACAATGCGCCCGCGCGACGCATCCGGCTCCACCTCGAGATAAGCCAGACAGCGTATCACATCGCCGACATGGTCTTTTTCCTCCACGAAACGGCCCTTGTAGAACATAACCGCAGATAAGCTGGTCTCATCGAGGATGCCGTAGACCAGTTCCAGGAATTCGAATTCGCGCCAGTCGAAATCGGTTAACACCGCCATTTTGGTGGTGCTGCGAAGACATTTCAGCAAGCAGACAGTCATCCAGTACAATCGAATATGCCAATGATCCGGCACAAAACAATAATCCGCGACATTGCAGGAGATGCGCACATAAGGGACGTCGGCTTCCGTGGTGAAAACACTGTTCCACAGGGGACAGACCAGCCGACAGCGGACGCGCTCGACGGAGTCCAGCGATCGGAAGATCTCCACCAGCAGTTCCGGGGGCAATGGCATGCCGCTCTGCCGACTGCCAGGGAGCTTCCGCTTTTGTGTGTCAGCCATTCCGCGCTGGCGGAGAAACCATTTCCATGCTGGGGATGTCCGATCCATCTCCTCATCCTTTTTCCTCACAAGGTTGTAATGCTTTTCCTGCCAAACTAATAGTTCATGACCGCAAAATTAATACAGTAGTATCTAAAAATTTTGAAAAATATTTGATACATTTATGCCTGTTTCAGCGATTGCACTTATTCATTTCATGTACCATTAGGTACAATTACAAACGAGTGATCCACGAGGTTTCGAAAAATTTTCACTCAAGCTTTAACTGTACTCTGTAGTCTGTAGTGAGTGTACTGTGCTTTGTATCACACGGTCAGTATTTGTATGCGCCTTAATGCGCGCTGTACTTGCGTTATTACCGCTGCATAGTGCCTACTTCGACCGTTTTTCGCATTACGGACACTTTTAAGCTTTGGCCAGAGGCAGGAGAGAACAGTGAACCACGTTGGCTAGGTAACTTACCACTTGCTGCGGCGTCAGTGGAGTGGCCTGGTGCCACTGCATATAGGTGAATGACTGACTAAGCACCGCGGTGCACAGCACTTTGAAGCGTTGGTTCACTTCGTACTGGAAGATCTCCCTGAGCGAACAGGACGCGTCGGACCAGTAGGTTGCCGGCAGGGGACAGCTGCGAACGACGAAATCATCTTGTGTTATCCGCCAATTTTGGAGGTCGGCATCGGCGCACTTGGTCGCAAGGGACCAGTTCGCTGACGGTGCCGTGGGGCAGCTGCACCTCCACACGTTTCGCGTGTTGCAAAAACAGTTCTCCCTGGGAGACCGACTGGCCCGGATACCAAATCCACGCACCGTCTGCCGAACGGCGCAGCAGGACCTGCAACGGCTTGGGTTCCCACACCGCGAACCATGCGAACTCGGGACTGCAGCGCAAAATGCGTCCGTGCTCGATCAATTGCGCTCGCTGTCCCGCACATCGAAAATCGATGAGCAGGCCCCCGTCCGCTACGTTGATAACGGCGCCGCGCTGCAGCAGGCCTCCCTCGACCAGGACATCCACGGCATTCCAAGCGAACACCCGGTGCATCTCGTCTCCGTAGACGAACATCGCGGACAACTCGGTTAGGAAACTTGGTACGCGGCAAACAGGATGCGCAGCGCAAGTAAGTACCAACGAAAGGAGTTGCACTTTTCGTACTTCGATATGCCACACGTTCCGGCTCCCCTTGCAAATCGGCTACACGTCTCGGCTCCCAGCTAAAGCGTATGTGCCGCTAGCACACACACACACAGCTTTGTGTGTTAGCTGAAGCGGCGTGTACGTTAGCCGGTAAATCCAGAAAAATATCATTTTCATTTAAGGGGACCCCTAGCCGCAGTTGGGTGGGTTCGGGAAAACGGGAATAGATTGGGAACGGTGACCGGATATGTGTCTTCACTCTTCTTAGTAAACGCAGAGAGAATTTAGAATTCAGCTGCACAATGGTGTAGCGCGATCCTCTCTCTCCTGTGTCTAGACTCTGGACCGAGCTATTCATCACACCAAGAAAAAATTTGCAAGGGGAGCCGGAACGTGTGACATATCGAAGTATACCTTAACACAAGAAGGACTTCATAAAATAGAGGGACCGTGCACAAGCACACTTGTTAAAAAAAAACGTGAACAACCGTAGTTCAGTGGGCATTTCTCAGCTGATGGCAGCGGCTATTCTCGCGTACGTATTACTGGAGCTTGAGAAGTGGTACCTTGACTACGAGTAGCCTAGAATCGTACTTAATTTTATTTGGAACTTGTACAAGCAGATGCCATTTACACTTAAACTCAAGTAGCCTAGAATATTTGAAGTTCTTCCACGTAAAAAGTAAACGTGCGGCGTGAGAGCGCTATTTACGGGTTTAGCCGCAGCCAGGCTGAAGTCTGAACATTCTGTCTCTGCCTGGGCTTTATTCATCTTGGCTACTCGTGAATAATCAATCAGTCAAATGAATCAAGAGCAACCATAATCCAAGGAATTATCTGTTCTTCTAAACGTTTTAATCTACCTATCCGGCTCGCAGCCTAACTCTTCTTTTGTTTGAGGCGGCGCCAGAGGGCAGTTACAGTAACATTCCGCGGTGGTGCACTTGCGCATGAAACTTTCGCATATTATTGCGACATCCGCACGAGCAGGAGCAGCAACAGCACAGGCCGAGCAGGGCAAGATCGAAAAATATCGTGATATCGGCCAGGACTACGTGTTTCGCGCTCTTGGTTTTGAAACGCTCGGACCGCCCGGACCGGATGCTGTCCGCACGATAACGGAATTCGGACAAATGGTACGACAGGAAACCGGCGAAAAGCGAGCCACAGAATATCTTCGCCAGCGGATTAGCATCGAAATTCAACGAGGAAATGCGGCATCGATCTTGGGGACAGCGCCGATAGGGGCAAATTTAGACCAAATTTTCTCTGTGATTAGGCAGCCTCTGTCGATTGATGCTTAATGTGATCGTTTCTAAAGTTGTTGTGAAATTTTCCTGTGAACAATTGTCTGTCTTTGCAGGTGGCAATGCGAGGTGGTCAGTGAATTTTACAATCATTCCAAGTACATCAAACATGTAAGTACTTTTCAAACGTTTGCGATGCTATTTTGGGCAATATGCATGCAGTGTTTGCCGCCTACTCGTAGTCATAGAAAGTTAAATGTGCGGTTTGTATAATATTATTATGTACACATAAATGATGCACTTCTTCTGCGTGACATTTCTGATCTTTTATTTTCTACCTTATCACCAGGTGAAGAGCTAAGGTATGTCGTAAGATAAAACTTGCGTCAGAAATTCATTCATTCTGAAATTCCGTCAGAATCCGTAGCTTTGTAATTATAAAAAATCCATATTACTAGAATTATATAACAAAACGTAATGATACCGCAATGAATCAGCAGGCCATTGTAGTCAGTTTCCGGTGAACGTGACAGACTCGGTGACACTACCGTTTCCGTACAACAGACTCGGTGACACTACCGTTAACTAGTAATCGCTTCAAACCATTCCAGCGCAACTCAATCTACGCTTCCGCATGGGAACGATGTGAACCTTCCTGTTATCCTTCGCCATAGTGCTTATCCACGCTGTTGTCTGCGTATGTTTCAGTAGAATCTCACTGAACTGAACTTGACGTTTTATGCCCGCCACTAGGATGATATGCTGGGCATCCTCCATTTTGATATACGTGGCTTCTTCATGGAAGCCACGACTTCCGTGAAGGATGGGGTCGTAGTATTCTAAATAGTCGGCTGCGCGAATTATCGTTTCTGGACGTCGACCAACCAGGCCTTCTTTGCCAGTCTCCAAGGTGTTACAGACGACTTCCGCTCCACGAGCTCCGATTACTACCGCAGGACACCAGAAGTCCATTTCGTTCACGAACACTTCCTCCTTGTGTTGGAACTCCCAATCCCCAACACAAATCACCGGTAACCGGCGGGGTTCCGTGGAGAAGCGGAGCGGGTGGTTCATGAGATATTCTTTGTGGCGGCAAATGTCCATGAAGTCTGATGGCAATAACAACGTATCCTGTGCATGCATATAAAAGTTTCAAATATGAAATGTGAAGTTAAAATCGAAAGAATTTAAAAGAGACAGTCCCATTAAATGTTAACTCAATTTTGAAATAAATTTTTCACGTGCATGTACATGTGAAGTATTTTTAGCAGTAGCACGCATGGCAGTGCATGTTATTGCAGATGTGTTTCTGTTTTGTCAAAGACAACTAGCCGCAACGCCTTACCTTCAAAGGGCCGTCGACGAGTTGGGTAACGGTCATCAATGGGAATCTGATAAGGAACAAAATGTCTCCTAATACCTGGCGCCGGTTTTGCGGTGTAGGATCCATTTTGTTCCGAGTGCATGCTGCTGCAGCCCATCTAAACAGAGATTTCGCTAATTCGCTGGCACGAACTATGGGCTGTCCATTCGTTATGTGCAAAATTCTTAGCTCAAAACGCTCCGCAATCCCAAAATTTGTTTTAAATTTTTAATATCAACATGTGTATGCGTGAGATGTACGTTGGTCTCGGGTTGGTACGGAAAGTGAGGGTGACCTTTGTTTTGTTCTGCCTCAGCTAAATCCATTAGACCGATTCGATGACCTTTGAAGATTCTCTTGGCACACAACTCAGTTAACTTCTTCACGAATATAATAACAAGAGCTTTTAACCGTACTTTAGTTTAGTAAGCATGCCGCTAATACTTATAAATACCTGGTAAAAAGCATTGCTAACAAAGAAAATCAATCCATGCTGTACGCATAGTAACGATTCCTGCGTTCTCCACGCTCAGTCTAAGCAGATCGCTTGTCTGTTAGGCATAGAAGTACTTACTGTTCGAGTCAATAAGCATAAAACAACTCGGAACACTTTGTTTCCTGACAACAGTGGGCATCTGTAACTCAACCGAATCCGTCCGTTTAAAAAAGCACAGGTGCATTCATTTCTAGCATGCTCGTGATGGTTATGAATATGTGCATAATGTAAGTAGTTTTGATGCTAACCACACATGGTCCGCACGAAATACATGCTCCACCCTGCACGTTCGTGCGACGGAAAGTTCATACCTCCCGGAAGAAGTCGGTTTAGACGGGGAAAATCAGAAATTAATCATTTTCCAATAGCTAGCCGGGCACATAAACCGTACTGCTCGTATGAACGATTTGAAATCCATATTATGTACCCTGTACATACAAGCGCGAGTGGATCAAATTTCCAATTGGGTATTTACCTGTTCACGGCCATGTAAATGATGCTCTCATCGGCAAACAACGTGTCGCGCTCCAGTACCATCTGCAGCGTCTTGGGTTGCAGTTCCATGAACAGTTCCGATTTGAAGACCTCCTCACTGTGCACGTCCACGAAGTGCAGGCATGTTTCCACGGCATTTCCGATACCGACAGCCCACTTAAGCGCCTACAGAAAAGCCGAGTGAAGCCAGCAGGAAACCGTTAGTCATAGCCACGATAAGATTGGCATCACGTACATTTTCAAGATGCAGCAAGTAACGATTAGTATCGCCGACCTTCGCACTGAGGTCATCGAGGATGAGGTTAAAGCAGCGGTCGACCAGCAGTGGCAAGTCGTATTTATCAGCGCACTTCATCGTGGGGAAAGCGTCCTTTATTGCTGCATTCTGCGCACCGGGATAGATAAATCTATTAAAATGATAACATTCTAAATGGACGTCTACTACAGAACCTAATAACGATCAAACTACCAGAACGATGGAGTACTTGCCTAAGCATATTTTCGAACGCTTCCGGAAGAATATCGGGGATGTCGATAGGACCATCACATTTCTTCAGCTGACTTCCGTTAAGCATGCTATAAAAGACCTCGCTTGCGCTGCTTAGAACGTACCTGTTAAGCCATCAAGAATTCTTAATTGTATTTCATGGGCAATTTAGGAAGGGAACCGTGTTTCATAGTGTTACTTACCTATGTGCCTGAAGGATTTTCGCCGGGCCGAAAAATCGCCCGACGGAAAACTGCAGGTCGGCCAAATCTTCACTTTCCAACATCCGCTCCATTCGGTTCTGGACGAGTGTATCTGGTCGTTCAGTGGTGCTGTTCGATGCGGATAATGAAGTGGATGGAGCTGGAGGCGTCTCGGATCGAGGGGATCTCGGCGTCCTGTCGTCTGGCATCCCGGCTCGGGAGCGTCGCGGCACCCTCGTTATTCGGATAATCGGTCTCACCATGCCGGAAGTTCACCAGACCAACGAAACGGGTAATTTTGAAAGTATTTTATAGCAGATTTAAAATAGTTGTGGCGAAATCAACAACCTATTGCTGTGGATGCGATGTATATCCATACAGCAACAAAGAAACTCAGCTATACGCAACTCAAATGACTCGGTTGCTAAAAAAGCCTTGACAAAAGAGTTGCCATTGCCGCAATGGCCACGGATGATGCACAATTTTACATTGTGCATCATCACAACAGGATACCGGCGTTGATGTGCACTGTGCAGTATTGATCATCTTGTACAAAATACATGCAGTATTACATTTATGTACTGATGTGAGCTCCGTAAGTACACCATCCGATCAAGCCGTATTATTAATGATCCACTTCTGGCCGCGACCGGCGACCGCCAATGGCTTCGTTTCGGCATGGCAGACAGATTATGACATACGGAAAGTCTTTCTGGGAGTCACATGAATCGTTTCACTCTATTCCTATATCAGCCAGTCGGATATTAGGATGGAGTCTAATCGATGCTGTTCTGGGAAGCAGGTCTTTCCGTTTGCCAAGAAGGCGGCGTAGTGAAAATTTGTTCATGGTTCACGATTTACAAATTCTATTTACTTCCTGAGTGTATTTATTCCGGATGCGCTTTAATGTGAAACGAAGAACAAACTAACATATTCAAACAAACGTATAGTACTTATTTGATGCATCGCACATGTGCTGCGAACTTCCAGATACATGTGTAGATGTGCTACAATTTCAAAGAAAAACAGCTTTGGAGTTTCCGCTCTGTAGACGCTGTTTTTAAGCGGATGGTGGCGATGAATTTGTGATCTTTAGTTCACTTGGGCATCTTCGACTAAATGCGGGTAGTTTATTTTTTCGGAATTAAAATTGGTAGGCAGCAAGAAATTTAGAAACTGTACAGCTTCAGAAAGAAAGCATCTGCGCAGATAACTGTACTTGTAAAATGATTACACAACTGTAAGGGATATTGCTCACGATATATTAGAGAAGTGCTTATTCCACTAAAATCAGAAAAGACAACAGACAGGGCAGTTGGGCTCTGAGTAAAGTAGATTTAACTAAAGTCAACCACTAAGACTAGATCACCGGTTATTCGGCTAAAATGTGTAGCGTCCAATAATAACTCCAGATTCCTCCGTGGTTATCAGGAGAAACCGAATTTGCTCAGTTAATTATACGGTATTTATACCCGTACTTGCTACATGCTTACCACAAGATACCATGTAGCATGTAATACCAGTTGTGCCGACACTTGAGCCGGTGGAATACAGGAACATCAGTGTCGTTACTGTCGTACTGTTGTCCTGAATTAATACTATATTCTTTCACTGTTTAGCACGTCTTGTGAACAAACGAATGGCAAGCGCGTCATTGATCGAGCCAGTACGTGAGCATGTCTCCTTTGCCCTGTAATGCGACGCTGTTGCTTAATCAGTCTGGATGAAGAAGCAGTCGAACAGTCAAAGAATCCAGTTCCATACCTTAACGAAAAGCAGCCCGCGCTCTTGCAAACAGAAGCGGTGGTTGCCGGCGTCGGCAGCGAGGAGGTCATGGCTGGCCTGACTGAGGTGGATGCGACCGCCCTGGCCGTTAGTGTTCATGCGGGCAGCCACGTTCACCGTGTCACCAAACCTGTAAAGGTCAGTCAGCATTACAAACCACTGCAACTGATTACAGATAGTTTTAATGACTTACAGACAATAACGGGGAACACGCATGCCAATGACTCCGGCAGCACACGGACCTACAAGAAACGTAGCGCACCATAGTGTTAATACTGGTACTTGATCATAAGCAAGGTCAACGATATCCTTCAGGATGATGCAACTGAACCATCAACCCCGAATGAGACCAGAGTCAGGAAAGGCCCACCGGAGTGGATGCCGCAGCGCAGTCCTAGCGGTGAGTGATGGCCGACATTCGGATGCCCAGTGCTTGTTGTTATCGGCGTCTCTTGACTCTTCGAATTCCTTCTGGCTTCCTTACCGGCAAACACACGCAGCAGCTTGATTGCCATTCGGCAAATCTCTACCACGTGCTGGTTGTCGCCTCGAACCGGAATACCACTGACTGCCTGTAAAAGTCGGACTTGCGACGAAACTGTTTGGGCACGTCACAATGTAGTGGTTGACACTGACCATGTAGCTATCCCGCACAGTCTCCACTTTGTAGACATCCAGTTCCTGGATGGCTCCGTCGAAAGCACTAAACAAAGCCGTGACGGTGCCGATGACCATCTCGGGTGGGACGCTGCACATCCAGTCGACGAAGTTGTCCAAGTCGGAGAAGAAGACACTGACGGAATCGTAGAACTCCGCTACCATTTTTTCGTGATTGCGCAGCTGGTCCACAACGCATCTACCCAACACTCAGGTTTTTTAAGTTTCATTACGAACCGTATATCGTTTGGAGTTTTGACCGAAAGGAAACGTTGACCTACCGGGGTAGTAGTTCGCTAAGCAGATCGTCACACCTTTTTCGCTCGCCCATCAACTCCTCGGTCTTCACGCGCACCGCTTCGTCCAGGGTTTCCGTGTATGCCTCAAAGCGTCTGATGATGCTTTCCACGACGTTGCGGGACGCCGGCTGCCCCGGCACACGCAATCGCCCAAAGTCGGTGAAAAGTTGCTTGGCCGTTGGGCGCGAAACGGGATTACTGTGCAGGCAGCGGTTGGCGAGGAGTGTGAGGCGTCGCTGGATATCGGGATTCGCCGCTTCTTTCTCGCTGCCGACTTCGACTTCCTTCGCTGCCCTGATGGCTAGCTGGGAGGGCGCCGTGTGGGCCAACTGGTAGATGATCACCAGAAGTATTTGACCGGCTGCGTAGATATCAGCAGGGAAAGCCAAGTCCTTATTGGGAGCATGGGCGTCCGGGGATTTTTCTGGCGAGAGGGCATGGCTGATGGCGACGAAGCCAAACTGCCCAATACGCAAAGTGAAATGCTCGTCTATGAGGCAACAGCCGGGAGACAGACAGCCATGCGGTCGGCCGATGTTGTTGTGCAGATAACTCAGACCCTAAGGACTGACAGTTTGAATGTGGAGGGCAAGGGAGGGATCATTACTGCGGCGTACCTTGGCCAGATCGCGGGCCATGGATAACTGGAAATCATGATCCAGCTGCAATACCTCCAACAATGTCAGTAATGAGCCGCGTTTGCAGTAATCCGAAATGAGGATGGCCTGATGCGGCAAAATAACCACACCAAGCAGCGCATTGACATTGGGATGCTGTGAAATCAAGCCATTTGTTAATTAATATGGTGCTATCTATTTACCTGCTGGCAGACTGCAGGCACTGCGTCGCACACTAACCGTCGTATCGGGCACGAGACGCGCAAGTAGTGGCAAGTTGCAACGGCCGTGGATCTTCATCGTGGTGAGCCACACCGTCGTGTTTCTCCATGATACCGGATTGACCACTTCTTTCCCAGTCGCAATCAGGCTACCGTCCCACTCATTCTCGTTGATTAGCCACCAGTAACGCGATCGGTCGTTCCGTCGCGCTCTTCTGTAACCGCAAATTTCGTACTATGTTTTAGCAGACTGGAGAACCCAATAATAACTCTAATATCCCTCGGATTTTACACAAATCATACAGTAAATTTGGTACGTGAACGAAGTGCTTATAACAACTCTGTAAGTTCCAAATCCCTTTCACAGCATTACAAGAACTACTTGCCGACAGCATGGATTTTAACAACATAAAGCACAACAAAGCAGGGTTTTCCGAGCACCGAAAGGGCAAGTAACTTAGTTAATTATTAGACGGAGTAATATAGATAATTGAATCTGGTGAATATATAAGAATTTGTTAGCAGGCACCCAGCCGCTTTCCTTTACAGCGATGAAATTATGTAACAACGTCTCACTTACCGAATTGCAAAGAGTGCCGCACAGGATGCTCCCAGAACCACCACCGCAACGCCTACGGCCACCGGAAGAGCGATGGTCAAGACGGATCCGGTCCGTGCTGCAAAATGCTTAATATGTCATTGTGGCGACATCTTCAACGATCTGAGTTGAACTACATATATCGGTCGCACGTGGCGGAGCATACCGCGGTCGCGACAAGGCCCTTCCCGTCCGGAGAAGCCACACACCGGTACATCCAACGGTGGACTGCCAGTTGGCCAATCCCGAACCGATGTGTGCTTCAACTCTAACGTTTCGCTAACGGAACGATACACCGCGAACATCTGCACGAATGTCAACCGTTTAGGATGCCAGTGTTACAGTGTAAGTACATGTGGTAAAGCATGAGTTAATGTTACGCTCATATTCCGAGTTTGTGAGTCGAACATCCAAATGTCGATGTCCATCGTAGAACGACCGTGTGGGTCAACCGCCACGGTGGCGTGCGGCAAGGGGATGGTGCGATTGAACAGCAGCGAAGCCAGGTGATCACCGGCGCAGAAGGCAGCGCGCTGCGCAGGCGGCAGTCGGCGATATTCATCCAGTTTGCCGGCCAGGGTATCGCTAATTAGCTCGATGGCAGTATAAGCCATGCGTGTCGGGTAGTTGCTTAGCGCCTGTAAAAGGAATACACTCATCGGGATCGGTTGTGGGGCAGTAGTTTACAAAACTTATCCCGATCTGACTATTTCCGAAATACTGCTCATTGTAATGTACGCTAATACCAGTGTATAGCTATACTGTACTGGTATCGTTCTGACAAAAGATCAGTGCCGTGGCTTTTTGTTGGTAAGTACATATGTGCGTCTGCGCATGCTTGCTCACTGTAATTATTTTATCTAGTTTACTCAAAACTAATGTTTAACGAAGTGCCCTAGTTCAGCATTCTCATGCTGAATTAGCCTCCTCGTGCATCCTTCTTGCCAGACTCTGGTCCGAAGGTGGATGCGATTTCATTAAGCATCCACTAATAACCCATCCACTTTCCTGTCGGTTACTCGCGCTTCTCCATTTAAATGCCTTCTTATAACCCGGTAAATCTGTCAGTGTACTGCAGTAATTATGTGATGTCTCACCTGGAATCCTGGCTCATATGTGACGTTGTACATCTCGTAGGCCAACTGACGCAGTTCACCGTTCAGTTGTCGCTCGTATTCGGTGTCGTCGGATTCATGGAAGGTGAGAAAAATCAGGTTCCAAGTCAAGTTCAACATCTGCAACGGCACAACTGCTGAACGATCACGGAAAGTTCCGTCCCACAAGCTATTGTCCAACAACATGGGATGCTCTCAACTGGGACCGTTCCGAGCGAAGTTTTAATGCAACATAAGGCAGTATTTTGAATAAGATATTTAAACCCTTTTCTATCAGTTTAATTCGAACAAGAGAGGCTCTTCTCTACTTACTAACGGCTTGGGATTGTTGAAGAAGGATGCCTTTCCGTAGAAGTTATTTTGGACAGGCTGGACATTGAGGAACACCTGCCGGACCATCAAATTTTAAGGTCTTACAGAAGCATTCGTAAAACCATATTCTGCAGACGCACATATTCTCCGTTGGTCATCCCCAGTTGACTGGCCAGATCCTGTGAGAACGAATTGTACAGTGACCACACATTTCATATACAACTAGAGACAACATCTAAAGTAGCCCCTGAGCGGAAGGTAATCAGTAGCCTTCATAGAATCAAGTAAAAGAATCGATAAATCCGCTGATGAATCTGTAATCACTCACTGGAAACTGCCACCACACGTTTCACGTTTCGTTTCGTTTCATCTGTTTAATCAGCCTAGAATTCTTCATGATGAAAGAACGGCAAGATCAGAAAAATAGCTTGAGATCAATCAGATATTCCTATATTCCCCAAGGTACACAAACTCCCAGATCGCGTATGCTCGTATGCATTCGTGTATGATACGTAGTTATGTTCTCGTGTATTTGAAATAGCATCAATGACGGGTGATAACGATATAGTTTGAATAGCTGCAATGTAATGCTCTCAACATTTTTTTCTGATAGAACGTTACTTGCTCATTTTGGTGTGAGCAATGGTACTATAGGAGCACGGCATCCGCCAGCGCTGTTAGCCATTGTATAATGTATTGTAAACACAAGCCCATAGAAAGTTCCTTTGCAGTTGTTGGGCTTATATATCGGCACTTTTTCCGTACCTCGAGGTGAATGTACAGTTAGACCGTTTTTTTGTTTTTCGAATCTGATCGCTAACTTCATTAGCGCTTCTGTACTTTTTTGCACGTTGTACAATGTATGTTAACGGTGGCTGCAGAGTCTGTATGCTTTAAGCGCACAATTATGCCGATTAACTGCACAATATGAGATCTTGAGCGACCTTCTCAAGGCAAAAAATAGCGCTTCCGCTACTGCACGTTAACAGACAACAGATTTCTGCTATGAAAGCATTTTGGGAAGGTGCCTTTACGTACGCCTCGGCACGAGTACAACTTGCGCAGTATGTCTACGTGTAACTTACCATTATCAGATAGGCAACGGGCGCAGAAGAAGAAAGGAAGAAAACTGCAGGCCACAGTTGAATAGAGAAAAGAAAGATCATACAGAAGAGTAACATCCATACATACGATAACGTCTTTTAACTTTTAACGATTGGTGACGTACCGCGACTGTTTTCCTGGGCGCGCAGTAGGGCGGTGGCGATGGAAGCGTTGTCGTTGGGCTGAAAGGGATAGGAGGTCAGCGGGACGTTGTTGGCAAGCGACAAGGCCTTGGCGGCATTGAGCAGGTAGGCGTAGAAGACGGTGGTGGCGCGCGTGTCCAGCAGGAGAGCCACGCGCGACCAGCCGAAGGAGCGGAGGATGCCCCATACGGTGCGTGCCGCGTCCACCTCGCTGACGGCCAGATTCAACAGGTACGTGGGGGTCATTCGCGGTGGGACGGATGACAGTAACGCGATACCACTGGAACACAGTATAAACACATACCATTGTCAAACTGGATAGAGCCGTTGATGATTTGTGAAGGATAATGACTAAATGACTATCTGATACTGGTGATAACTAAAGGTCATGCCAACTGTAAGAAAACTAGGAATTTGGCTTACTTGTTGAAAAAGAAAGCGTTCCATTCTGCGAAACAAACGCACGATTAAACAACTGTGAAGGGCAAAAAAGGTTAAAAACCGAACGGATGATTCCGTCAGCAGGACTTTTGTCTTTAGACCAAGAAAACCCGGGCAAACGTTTATCGGTGACCGGTCGTTAATTAGCTGGCCCAGTTTTTCATTGTTTCTGGCCTTTTCAAACACCCTGAACCGACATCACACCCGGGCACCTTTGCCGGAACACGATTTTAAGCCGAACGGTTTTGCCGGTTGTAAAGGAGCTGACATCACTAAGCTACTGATGGTGAGTTGTATGACTCAGCTTACCGCTAGATAGGGAGAGCATCTGAAAATAGTCCATACAACCTGCAAAGAGGAACACGTCTACAACAAGCCAGTTTCCATGCTTTGAGAAGCTGGTTTATACTGTTGGTGAAGTAGAGGTCACACGTGTCCAACGATTGCTGGTCCAAATTGTGGCGGTAATAATAGTCGGCCATGTGGAAAATCCCGTCCGCGGCCGTCTGCGCGCAGGTATAGTTGATCATGACGTCCACGGGATGCACCAAGAAGCGCAGTCCGCGCTGCGCATAGCGTTCGTTGGCGCGCTGCACGGCCAGCTGCAGCGCGCCGCCCATCCATACTAGCCCGACTGCCACGCTGGGCTCTCGTATCTGTAGACTGACCACCCGCACCTCCAGGGTCGGTTGGACGGGGCCTGGCGGTGCTCGCTGACCTTGGCTGAGCACAAGCCAGATAATCAACACAATGCACAAAGCACTGCAACGAGTGCTATGCCGGTGCATTTTTTTATTACCAGGTTAAAGGTTTTTAAACGTATGTTCCGTCGTTCCAGGTGTTTTAACATTCGCACATTCCGGCAGCATCCAGTGTGCAGTTGAAAAACACACCAGTTGAAAAGTTGAGAAATCAAAAACTGAGAATAAAACCCAGGCCGCGCATTGACTGGCCGCAAAAAGCAGTTACATTCCCTCTAACTGCTGTTAAGTATACAGGCTGCCTCAGGAAGGCGGCCGATCCAGATTGTCCAATTATTTTCGGGATCTTCCGGTCAACGAAACGACTCTTTAGATTGTCGGCCTGCCATTCTTTGCCGGTCGCGACAAGGATGCGTTGCCCAACATACGTTTGGTGCTAAAGCGAGACGACACAGGTGAATGATAGGTTAGGTAACTGTGCAGTGTGCAGCTTGCACCTGCTCCCGTTAAGGTTCGCGCAGCGGTACTGGAGCACGTAACGTTAATTAGCACCGCACCGCAAGGCTGTTTTATTCTCACGATTCCTCACGGGAATTTGTATTTCTGTTTGGCATAACATCCGGTTGAATGTCATTGCTAATGATTTTGTGGACGTTCCAACTTGGCAATTTGAATACGCATTTACAAGCAGTGCTTCATCTTCTGCCCAGCTTAAGTGATCCTCTCTTTCGCTGGTTGGCGCTTCGTACACTGGAAACACGGATTAATTAACTGGCAACAATATGCTGACTGGATCGATGGGAATTTCTGGCAGCCTGACGTGATGTTGCGCCTACGCCTCATTAACCATAAATATTTTCTCTGCGTGAGCAGGATTACGGTTTGGTAAAATTCAGGCGTGAGTGTCTTGCTATCAAAGAATAAAGCTGAGTTAATTTGGGTTGGGCTTTTGAAACGCAAGCTTGATTACGGTGTGAAGTGTACTTTTCTCGTTCCGTTTTTTTTTAGCTGCTATACAGCTGTTCCTTTCACCTTGATGCTGGACAAGTGCATATGTGTAACCATGTCAGTGCTGTCAGTAGGTGTGACAATGCAATCAAACGCGCGTATCAATTTACATATTGTAAAATACTTTGTTAAAATTTGACAAAATTCTCTTAGCGATTACACACAGCTGCATAGAACGCACGCGTTTTCTGCCTCCTCTAACACAGTAATAACCCAGCGTTTCAGGTTGCCAGCGGGGACAATAAAGCGCCAGCTGCTAAAGTAGTCAGCAATTCGTTTAAGAAACAACGAAAATCGGTTATATGGCAGATATGTAAGCGATGACCACCACATTTCTAATCCCTGTTATCATCAACGCTGTACAGTGTGTTAAAAGCGCAAGAACAACAATAAAATAACAGCAGCAAAAAACGAGTGTCACATCAGATCAACAACCTGAAATCATAAAACAGCAGCCGTCGTCAGTACCGCTGTACGTCAATACGAGTATCCTTTCCAGCTTTCCGAACGACCGGACACGAAGGACAAGCGGACAACCCGTGCTGTCCCTAGTAACGCTGGCGACTGGTAATTTTTTCATAGAATGTCCAAGTTAGGACATTAAGCGGTTCTATGGGGATTAAACCAACAGACTAGGACACAACCACCTGAACAAATAGAACCACATAGAACCACAGTAGAACCCATAGAACCTCCATAGAACCACCACAGAACCACAATGGAACCGGTTAGAAAGTCACAACCCGGCATGCTCCCATACTAGTCCTCTTCTCTGGCGCCCATAGAACCACATAGAACCACCATAGAACCTCCATAGAACCACCATAGAACCACAATGGAACCACGTGCAGAATCACAACCCGGCATGCTCCCATACTAGCCCTCTTTTCTGGCGCCCATAGAACCACATAGAACCACCATAGAACCTCCATAGAACCACCATAGAACCACAATGGAACCACGTGCAAGGTCACAACCCGGCATGCTCCCATACTAGCCCTCTTTTCTGGCGCCCATAGAACCACATAGAACCACCATAGAACCTCCATAGAACCACCATAGAACCACAATGGAACCACGTGCAAGGTCACAACCCGGCATGCCATACTAGCCTTCTCCCATACTAGCCTTCTTTTTTTGGCGCCCATAGAACCACATAGAACCACCATAGAACCTCCATAGAACCACCATAGAACCACAATGGAACCACGTGCAAAGTCACAATCCGGCATGCTCCCATACTACCCTCTTTTTTGGCGCCCATAGAACCACATAGAACCACCATAGAAACTCCATAGAACCACCATAAAACCACAATGGAACCACGTGCAAAGTCACAACCCGGCATGCTCCCATACTAGTCCTCTTCTCTGGCGCCCATAGAACCACATAGAACCACCATAGAACCTCCATAGAACCACCATAGAACCACAATGGAACCACGTGCAGAATCACAACCCGGCATGCTCCCATACTAGCCCTCTTTTCTGGCGCCCATAGAACCACATAGAACCACCATAGAACCTCCATAGAACCACCATAGAACCACAATGGAACCACGTGCAAGGTCACAACCCGGCATGCTCCCATACTAGCCCTCTTTCTCCGGCGCCCATAGAACCACATAGAACCACCATAGAACCTCCATAGAACCACCATAGAACCACAATGGAACCACGTGCAAGGTCACAACCCGGCATGCCATACTAGCCTTCTCCCATACTAGCCTTCTTTTTTTGGCGCCCATAGAACCACATAGAACCACCATAGAACCTCCATAGAACCACCATAGAATCACAATGGAACCACGTGCAAAGTCACAATCCGGCATGCTCCCATACTACCCTCTTTTTTGGCGCCCATAGAACCACATAGAACCACCATAGAAACTCCATAGAACCACCATAAAACCACAATGGAACCACGTGCAAAGTCACAACCCGGCATGCTCCCATACTAGCCCTCTTTTCTGGCGCCCATAGAACCACATAGAACCACCAGAGAACCACAATGGAACCGGGTACAAAGTCACAGACCGGCATGTTTCCATACTAGCCCTCTTTTCTGGCGCCCATAGAGCCACATAGAACCACCATAGAACCACAATGGAACCGGGTACAAAGTCACAAGCCGGCATGCTTCCATACTTGCCCTCTTTTCTCGCGCCCACTATATTTATAAGTCAGTTAATACAGCTTTTTTTAGCTTTATTTTGATTGTTAATTGTATCTTGTACGACGCTGCTGCCAATTAATATGAATTTTCGACTCTTATTTGTAAAATTGTACCATGCCCAGCCGTGTCATAACCGGCATGGCATTCTCAAGTGACCAGTATTGGCCAGTGAGCAATAATTTTCGGAACTTTGCTTCATGTTTTTATGAATCTTAGCAATTTGTTCTCCTGTGATTTTTTTGGTATATCTGATGTAGGGGTGGCTTTACGGACTAGCAGGACCTTTGGGAGCCTAGTTTGGTCAGTTTGATCATGTTTGGTCACCCTCTGGACCTTCCGGATATGGCCCAGCTTACGGTTATAGATTCTAAACTGTCGTCTAAGTTAAGTTCTTTGAGATAAAACCAACAGAAACGACATATGACTATAACAACGGAACGCCGCAATGAGCGGTCACCGAACTGAGTGCTGGTTGAGCAGAGCGTTAGCCGAAATATTTTCGCCGATCCGCGTCCTCTCATTGTGTACCCTACGAGCCTTAGATGACAACGTCAGCGATCACGTGTACCTATGTCAGTATTTATGGTCGTGGGCTAAGCAGCACCCGTGTGACCGAGACCTGTATTGCACAAACGCTTGTGCACTAGATCTACTCTATGACTGGGCAGCAAGACCGCTGCTAACGAACGGACTGACTGCTGGAGCCTGGAGGCCTAAAAGCATTCTTATAATATAATTATGGGAATGGCCGGGGTAAAGAATGAGATCAGTAACCCCATATATGTAGCCTACGCAAATGACGTACGCATTTCAAAACGATAATTATTGCATCAGACGCAATGCATTCTGGAGTTATGCATGTGGGTTCGTCTGCAAATATTAGCGTTTATGAGTCTTTCGGTTTATACAGCAGCCACTGAAAAAGCCAGTCGGTGACGATAGTATGGGAGTTGCCGATTACAGGAGAATTGTTGAGATTAGTTTGCTAGTCAGACCTAAATTATCAAGACTGCAGCATTCGCAAAGTTCGCCAGTGTAGCTTGTCAGGTTACTCTTTATATCCTGGATCTGATTTTCTCATATTTGCAGCATTCGCACAATTCGCCTAAGGGGCTGCTCCGGCCACTGTAAATATGCTGATTCTGATTTTCCTATATTCTCTTATTCCCACAGTTTGCCAAAATGGCTGCTGCGGTCACTGTAATTATGCCGGTTCTGATCTTCTCATTTTCGCAGCGTTCGCCAAGGATACTTTAAAAGTCAGTCTTTGTAAGCATACCCAACGACATGCCGGGTTTGATTTTCCTATATTCGCTGCATTCGCAGCGTTCGCAGTGTTTACCAACGTTCCTGCTGAGGTTGTGTTAAATGAGCCTAACCATTAGTATACCGGTTCTGGTATTCCTGTATTGGCGACATTCGGTGAGTTCGCTAAGGAAGCGGTTAAAGTCGATCTTCATATCCTGTTCTTGTTTTATGTAATCTTGTTATTAGCATTATGTATGCCAAGGGTTCTGTCTATGACGCGAGTTGATTATTACGTAAGTCTGTTTTAGTACTTGCTGACTACCTTTAGCCCTTGTAACAACAGCACGACAAGGTTTTTACCCCCGGATTGAATGCTTAATGGAAATCCCGACCACACGCCAGTAAAAATGCAATTAAAAATATTAATTAAGTTTATTCAATCTTTTATAAGGTTTTGGCTTGTTGGCCCCCACTTGGCCCCCTCTCTTATGCGACAAGTCAGTAACACTGCCTCGTACTGTTAATTCAGTTACTATAATATAAATTAGTTATGTGTACATTCCAAGCTGTAAAAATGTTAAGGTATCCTGGATACACTTTAACCTTAGCATGAACTTGGCGAATCTTGCGAACACATGCGAATATTAAAATTGGGATTCGGACCCAGACTGATGCGATGCAGTTATATTTTACGTACATAGTAGAAGCTTAACAATGTACAACAGTATTTACTGCGGCCGTAAATAAGTACTGTACTCCGATAATATCAAGAGCGTAATACCGATTCCCAAAATTTAATGCAAGCGTGAGAGCAGCCAACACTAATAATTGATCTTGATGTAGAAGGTTGTAATCAGAAAAATTAAAGACACTGGAATGATCATACAAATTATATCCTAACCCTTAACATAAGCCTCGTTGTACGGTATGTGTACTAGTAGCAGTGCACTTAAGTACAAAAGTACGCGGTGGTGCTATGAATAAATTTTTGGTAAATAACAATTCTTTTATACGGCTAAAGAGTAACGGTATAACGATCAAGTTCACGTCTGTTGTGTAAATGCGATAGGAAGAATTACAAGTGTGCTAAACGTGGTGTCGCATACAGTATTCGCTATCATGGTGTGGCTAGGCATCGACGACGCCGATTTATTGAAGTCATAACATATACTCACGTAAGGCCGCCCACCTAAGGCACCAATTGCGATCAAGGATTTAGCTATACTTATAGATGATAATAAATACTTACGTAAGGCCGCCCCTTAGGCACCAATTGCGATCAAGGATTTACTAAATAAACTAATAGATATTTGCGTATGCTGCCGTTGGAGTTTTAGCTATCACCAAAGCCGCCGTCTCATCAACTCCTCGGCATTTCCATAGAATTTGCATTGTTCGTAAGTAATCCACATTCATGAAGTCTGCCATGACCGCCATTACATTAATGATGCAGTAGTACAGACAAACAATACTGGCAGTCTGGCACTAACATATATGCCAGCCTCGTTTCCCAATATTCGCAGCGTTCGCCAAGGGCGGAACCGGGGTCAACTGCATTGCATCATTAATTAATTAGTGCAAACGTTCGTTAATAAGTGAGTGCTGTAGGCTACGCAAAAATACGTACGCTTGCACAATGAGGGGCTACTGATCTCATATGGAGCCACTTCTGGTCGCGGACATTTCGTTTTGGGACTTTTCAAACGATGCGAATAATCGCCGCATAACTAAATCACCGCGCTTTCTTAAATCTCTACTTAGGATTTTTTCAGTTCTTAGGTTATTCTTTGGTTTCTTATTCTTATTTTTTCTTAATTTTCTGACTCTTTTATTTAGCTCGGTAAATCATTTATCCGATAGGCGAAATGTCGCTTGGTCGGGATATCCTTGCTGCGAAATTTCCTTGCGTCGAAGCGGCCATGCGACGGAAAGTCGCGCGGCGGAAAGTCCTATAGACGAAATGTCCTGCGACGACGTTTGCGGCGAAATGTCTGCGACTAAAAGTCCTGCGACGAGTTGTCGGCGGCGAAATGTCGCGGTGCCATTTAAAATTGCGGGATAAGCATTCTGCCGGTTTTCAAAAAATTTTCATTTTGCGATTTTGTCGTAACTTCGGAAAGTTACTGGTAAGGTCTGAAATCTGGTAAGCAAAGTTGTTTAATCGGAGCGAAAACAAAAACAAAGGCCGCCATTTTGTTGGCCCATCCGGTAAAACGGGCATTGAAACCCATTGTTATGTACGAAATGTCAGGTTGCTAGTCAATTTGCTGCCCGATCTTCTTGAAACTTTGATTTGAAGGAGACATGGCTTTAAAGTAGAAAACGAAATCAATTTCACTTTTCAGTTGATAGCACTTTCCCATAATTTTATACTTAGTTTTAATATTTTTGAAATGTATTTAAAAATCGAAGAAAGGTGCCATTAATCTGATATAAAAATCCTCAAATAACATATGAATCTGTATGTTGGAAATAGTGTTACTTCGGCGGACTTGCGACTTCGGCCAAAGTTCATTTCGGCCGAGGTTCACTTTGGGCAGCACTCATTTTGGCAACCGCAAATTTTGGCAACAAGACATTTGGCCATTTTTGTTCTCCTAGTTTTCGTTTGTTGCTTCGGTTTCTTAGGTTATTCTTGGGATTGTTATTCTTAAGTTTTCTCAGGTCTCTTAGGTTTTCTTAGGTCATTCTTAGGTTATTCAGAAGTTGTTATCTTCAATCTTTTGTTAATCTTAAGTTATTCGAAAGGTTATGGTACCATCAAAACGTAGTTAAATCGAAAATAACGTTTTCTTGGCCTAATTCGATCAAAATAACGTCGGCCGAAATAAACTGCGGCCGAAGTTATGGTCGACCAAAGTGAATGGCGGCCGAAATGAACTTGGCCGAAATGAAAACGGCCTTAGTGATCGGTACAGCGCACGCATGATCCAAATCAAGTATCAAAAAGGGAGGTGAATGTTCATTTCCGCGCGAAGCGCGACACAAGATAAAGTCGTTACTGCACAAAATGCGGTACTGCAATAAGAATCAAATTATTTTTTAATAAAACAGTAAAGAACCGAGTTATGTCTTACTTGAGGCTGAATTAGTACAAGCTAGCGGAAGTCTAAGCACCGAATGCAATCCTAAAATCCCGCCGCCGCAAGAAGACAAGCCCAAGGAGAGTGTGTAGTGATGGAATTTAAGCATGCCGGCTTGTGACTTTGCACGTGGTTCCATTGTGGTTCTATGGTGGTTCTATGGAGTTTCTATGGTGGTTCTATGTGGTTCTATGGGCGGAAGAAAAGAGGGCTAGTATGGGAGCATGCCGGGTTGTGACTTTGCACGTGGTTCCATTGTGGTTCTATGGTGGTTCTATGGAGGTTCTATGGTGGTTCTATATGGTTCTATGGGCGCCAAAAAAGAGGGCTAGTATGAGAGCATGCCGGGTTGTGACTTTGCACGTGGTTCCATTGTGGTTCTATGGTGGTTCTATGGAGGTTCTATGGTGGTTCTATGTGGTTCTATGGGCGCCAGAAAAGAGGGCTAGTATGGGAGCATGCCGGGTTGTGATTCTGCACGTGGTTCCATTGTGGTTCTATGGTGGTTCTATGGAGGTTCTATGGTGGTTCTATGTGGTTCTATGGGCGCCAAAAAAAGAGGGCTAGTATGGGAGCATGCCGGGTTGTGACTTTGCACGTGGTTCCATTGTGGTTCTATGGTGGTTCTATGGAGGTTCTATGGTGGTTCTATGTGGTTCTATGGGCGCCAAAAAAAGAGGGCTAGTATGGGAGCATGCCGGGTTGTGACTTTGCACGTGGTTCCATTGTGGTTCTATGGTGGTTCTATGGAGGTTCTATGGTGGTTCTATGTGGTTCTATGTGGTTCTATGGGCCCAAAAAAAGAAGGCTAGTATGGGAGCATGCCGGGTTGTGACTTTGCACGTGGTTCCATTGTGGTTCTATGGAGGTTCTATGGAGGTTCCATGGTGGTTCTATGTGGTTCTATGGGCGCCAAAAAAAGAGGGCTAGTATGGGAGCATGCCGGGTTGTGACTTTGCACGTGGTTCCATTGTGGTTCTATGGTGGTTCTATGGAGGTTCTATGGTGGTTCTATGTGGTTCTATGGGCGCCAAAAAAAGAGGGCTACTATGGGAGCATGCCGGGTTGTGACTTTGCACGTGGTACCATTGTGGTTCTATGGTGGTTCTATGGAGGTTCTATGATGGTTCTATGTGGTTCTATGGGCGCCAGAAAAGAGGGCTACTATGGGAGCATGCCGGGTTGTGATTCTGCACGTGGTACCATTGTGGTTCTATGGTGGTTCTATGGAGGTTCTATGGTGGTTCTATGTGGTTCTATGGGCGCCAGAAAAGAGGGCTAGCATGGGAGCATGCCGGGTTGTGACATTGCACGTGGTTCCATTGTGGTTCTATGGAGGTTCTATGGAGGTTCTATGGTGGTTCCATATCCATAGAACCAGTAAGTCACTAATGTCCTAACTTGGACATTCTCTCAATTTTTTTGGTGTACGACGTACGACCGGAAGTACGTACGGATATCTCGTGTTTATTGCTGTTATTGTTGTGGCCTTATCTACGTAGCAACCGGACATGTTAAGCCTCGGTTAAATTCGGTATGCCGCTAAAAATATCTTTACTGGTTATCCGGAAACAGACGCGATGTTGCGGTATCTGAGAGCGAGCAGGTCGGCGTATCGGGGCCAGTGCGAAATCGAGGACAGTGCAGGTGGACCTCACCACCTCGAGTTTCTGACATCCCTTCTATGCCCGACTGCCCCAAACAATACCGATCCCTGCCACGGTAGTGGTTGACGGCTACTGGACCTTCATTGCGGACGTAACGCGCATAGCAGCTAGTTTTCCATCTACCAGCGCGTTGGATCAGGCGGTCTGGTACGTTTTTGCTTGCGGCGGTAGTTGCGGCGCCGATCCGAAAACTGTACGGGTTATTCCGGTGCTGGTCCGGGTGCCCCTCTAGGAGACGGTGGAGGGAGGCTTCGACTGAACGCCTGGTGAGGAAGCAGCCGTCTTGGTGAACGAAAAGAGGGCACCTTCCCACCGGCAACGTGAACTGCGCATGGGCAAGGTACTTCCGGTAAGCCTGCACGGGACAGACCGAGCGGCCGGTCGCCGCCAGCGCCACGGTGCAACCTTGCCCGGTTTGGTCGGTCTTGGTGATCTTGAGGCGCACGGCGACTTGGTTTCCGCAGTCCGTCAATTCTTCAGGCATGAGGGTGTGCTGAGGGTCGCATCGGTTTTCCCGTTGCTGGTCACTTCGCCGATACGTAGAAAACCGAAGTACAGCATGGTGAAGACGGCCCACAGCAGCGCCTGTTCGTAAGGGGAAATTCCGATTCGGCGAAGGTTGTGTTTCAGGCGCCGCAATACCTGCAGGGTCACAGGCCGGCGTGTGTCCGGGCGCGGGGCAGCTAGGCGTCGGTAGCCTTGCAGTGCCCGCACCACAAGGTCGTGATCTGTGGGTGATCTCACATCCGCTTCGCGATGACGGTTGTGTATACCGGCGAGGTACACAGTAACGGTGCGGAACGATTTTTTCGTGGTAAACAGATGAGCGACATATTCGGCAACGGTGTCCGGTAATGCCGGCAGGCAGTTGGCCGATCGGAGGTTACAGAACGCCGCAAACTGGTTGAATGCGGCGTCGTACGTCTTCCTTGTGGACTCGGCGACGCGGTCACTTAACAGCCGGTCGAGGTAGACTGTCCGGCGTATTTTGCAGTAGCTGCGGGAAAATGTCCGGGCATGGATCCGGTTGCTCTAGCACTGCTGGTGCGAGCATTCGGAGTCTGTGGTGCTGAAAACGAGACAGAGAGTCAGCGATCGCGTTGCTAATGCCGCGTATGTGCTTGAGCGTTAAAGTCATGTTAGCAGAAGCGGCCGCTGCCAGCATACGACGCATGATGTCCAATACGCCGCTGTTGGCCGAACGCAGGTTTTCCCATACTAGCGTGGCGCCTTCGTTATCACAGTGGAAGATGACTCTTTTTCTGCGCAGCCTCGAGCCCCAAACAATCAGACTGAGAAGTATGGGGATCAGTTCTATATACTCGATGCATGGTTTTTGCAGAAGAATCCACTGTGGCCAGCGAAGTTGAAACCATGATCCTTGGAGAACGCTCCGAGTCTTTGAGTGCCAGAGGCATCTGTGTACAAGTTGAGCACGTCTGCTCGTGTCCAGTCAGGATGAATAAAGGACGCCGTGCCGTTCCATGCCGGAAGAAACTCCCTCCACCATGCGAGGTCTTTTTGGAATTCGGCGCTGACGGTGCAAGGAGAGCGATCTTCCGTCGAGTGAAAGCCGGCTTGCTGGGATGCACTTGGTTGCAAAAGTGAGAGTCCCAATCAGAGTTTGGAGCTGTTGCTTTGTGCGATGATCGCGGCTGCTCCATTCTTTCAGTGCGTCTTCAATGCTTCGTCTCTTGTCGTCGGGCAGGCTGAGGGTCTGACGGACCGAGTCCAGTCGAATGCCCAGGAACGTCAGCTGAGTCGCGGGCCCATCGGTCTTGTCGTGTGCCCAGGGTACCCCGAGCTCACTGCACGTCTGGATCATGATGTCCATTGATGTGCTGCATTGGTTGCTTCCTGGTTTGCCCAGGAACAAGTAGTCGTCGACGTAGTGGAGGATACTGTTGAGACCGGTTACATCTGACACTATCCAGTGAATTGCGCTGGCAAATTGCTCAAACACATACGGAGACGCCCTGCATCCGAAAGGCAGCACGACATCAAAGAAAAACCCACCGTTCCACTGGTATCCGAGGAGGTTCCACTCCGCCGGACGTACAGGAATCAGTCGGAAGGCGGTTTTCACGTCCATCTTCGCCATCAGCGCACCTCTCCCGAGTTCTGTCAAGATCAAGACAGCGTGGTCTACGGTACAGTACTCAAGCGGAAGCTGCGTCATGTCGATGTAATCGTTCACGCTGTCACCATGCGGCTGCGATAAATCCAGAATGTTCCGGATGTTGCCGTCTTTCTTTATTCGAGCGCCCAGGGCGTTGCAGACAAAGTGTGGCAGCGGTGGAATAGGGAATGGTCCGATTGTATGACCGGCATCGACTTCTTCGCGTATGCTGGCGGTCACCGCGTGATAATTTTCGCGAGCAGTGGCGGAATTCGGCGTTGACCGTGATTTTTGGGGTCCATCGTAGCAGACGGTGCAACCGTCAGTAAGTGAAGTAGAAATGAATAAGTGTAACGAGGGGTCGGGATGGCGGGAGAGCAGTCTGGCGGAGGCGTCGGCTCAAAGCGGCGTCGTGGCTCTTGCCGGCACTGTCGCCCACCTACGTTTCGAGTTTGGACAGGTAGCCGTGCGGTGCTTGCGGTCCCCGCAGCTGGCGCATGCGTGGACTCTACCGGCGCGACACGGTGTCTGGCAGCTACCATAGTTGTAGTTCCGGCAGATTTCCCCGTCTGCGGCGGGTGCCTGACGAAAGGGCAGCCCGCATGCAGGTTGGCCTTTCCTGGAGGCGGTGCATTACTACAAAACGGTAATACTTAGACCTAACTTAACTATACAGTTAAGTATTAGACCGTAGACATTACATTTTTGAAGAAGGGCGGGGTTTGAAATCAGAAGAAGCGCAGATGCTTGGTTATATAGAGTTGACGACACCAACCACCAGAAGTGGAATGACTTCACCAAGTCACACCAATATCAGCGCCTTTAAAACAGGAGCAGCAGTGTACAAAATACCGTAGATTTTTATTTTTCCAAATTGTAACTGAATTCCCAAGCAACACGTGAATGGTGGCTCAAGTCAATATGTACGAGGATTTACTTTACTCACTTGTCAGTGTATTGTACGTCTGTTATTCACTAGTTGCGGCAGAATCCGTACAGAAATCCCTTAAATAAATGAGTTATACAACGGCTTGCCTTCATTCCCAATCTGGTCTCAGAGCTCCTTGACGTGCGGCTGCGCGATGAACTCGGTAATCCATTCCGCCAAGGCTTGGCGATCAATCGGCTTCGTGAAAACGAGATTTTTCTCGAAAAGATCCCATAACTGCAACCTTAATGGCTTCAATCCGAGGTCGCTGAAGGCATGCACTAGCGTGGCTCGTGCTACCGTACCGTGGGGCGTTGTGACCGTGAAGGCTGCACTATTCCACCCTAGACTGCCCCACCTCGACAACCGCGCCAAGCTGTTCAACAGTGTCCAGGACCAGAAACTTCGCATAATCGAAAGTGCACCCATAGAACATCCGCGTCGTCATGGGAATGTTGAATGTTCTTGACCATCTCTTTGATCACTGTGGCCGCGTCGGTGCGCTGGATAGCGTCCAGCTCGGTACGAATAAATTTCAGAGTATGTTGCTCAAACATTTCGCGAAACACTCCATGATCCAGCGAGCGCTCCTGATGAGTATGACATTTAGCCGTACGCGAAATCGACGCGCGACTTTTCTCTACGCTGGGGGACATCCGGACACTTTTAGCATCGCTTCTAGCGACTTAACATAAATAACTGGCAATAAAATTATTGTAGCTTTATCGTGGATAGAATTACAGTTTTGAAAAAGGACATCTGGTCGGGGAAATTTCCCCATTTGTTTTACATTTTCTTATGTTTTCTTATGTTTTCGTATTTGTTCTTACGTTTTCCACGTCTATAAAAAATGTCTCGTCATTGAAACAACCTAACGACGAAATGTCTCGCGGCGAGATGACCTTCCGGCAAATTGTCTGCGACCAAATGTCCTGCGGCTTGTTGTCCTCGGCGAAATGTCGCGGTGCCCAGAAAGATTCTCTCCCCAACCTGTCGGCAAAATAGTCCTGGGACAATGGACAGTATTGGACGTGACGAGATGTTGCTCGCCCACGCGCTGCTGCTCCAGAGCGGGAACTGCATCACCGGCCGCAAATTTAGACAAGATCTTTTTCTGTTACTCGACCGCCTGTTAATTTACTAGCTGCTGCGTACTATACTTTCCTGTAATTGATTGCACTGATGTTATGTATTAATAAACTGCTGCACAAATTCTTAAGGAATAGCATATCCGATGCTGTATACTAGTATACGTACAAAGAACCAATAATTAGGTATTAAGTTTAAATAATAATATGCTGTTGACTTCGTCTCCCACTGTTTTCAAATATTGTAATTTCATCAAAATTATGATTTTGCCATACGTCTGACCACATTATAGCGGATTACTCGTTTTGTCTTATTTACATCTCTTATGTTCCGTTTGCTCAGTACGAGTGCTTTCTACCACCATGCAACGGTAGTGGTATCAGTGGGCCAACAGTGGCTACGCGCGAAATGTAACTTGGGAATGCTATTTGTAGGCAGGCAGTTCGCATCGTAATATGAATATGACACAATTTTATTGCCGGTATATCCCAGACGCCGTCCATGCGAGGCGGGTCACGTGAGATGGCGCGGGCTTGATGCCGGCTGCAGGATCTGGAGGCCGTCTTCATGGGATACGAGTAGCGGAAGGCAAGGGCGGCGAGACTGCACAATGGTGGCTGCAGCTGCCCGGTTAGTGGTTCATTCAGCCTGCAGACATCAGCAGCTCGGTAAAATACTGTTAATATGATTATCGCAAATCAGGACATGGTTCCTTTCCGGCGCATTGCCAGACCAAGAGATTAGCTAACCAAAATCTTTATAACAATACTAACATTCAATGGGACCTTTTTCTCGACAAGCACTCCCATTACAAGCTTGCGCGACAATAATATGTGCACTCCTTATTACATTAAATTTTTGTATGAACGAATGCAAAAAATCGAATGGTTTTGATTTAATCGATAATATACGGCTTAAGAGGAATTATGTTATAAATGGTCCTTTGACCATTTTCGCTTTTCCTTTCTAAAGCCAGGACCAAATATACTTACAAAGTAAGCATGAGCAACAGCCGGCTGCATAAAGAATGCTCGGGACGCATGATTATCTCACGACAAGCCTCGTCAATATTGTTCGTTTCCAGTGCGGACAGGTCAGGGCAGCCAGCGTTCAAGACCTGGAGGAACTGCCTCAAGCGTTCGGTTGCACTGAACTTGTTGTACAGCGCGGCCTTCTTTACGACAATATCAACATCCTCCCGGAATCCGGCCGGGGCGCACCACAACCCGGCAATGGGCCCGAAAACGGTTGGGATCGTGACGTTACGCAAATGCAGTACTTGGCAAGCCTGCATCAAGTAACTGAGGTTGGCCCATTCTAACCGCTGCTTCTCGACATTCTGCGCCACGGCGCGAAAGCATCGAACATTCCTTAGAACGACTATCGGTAGACGTGTGACCTTAATGGACAGAAACTGGAAGACGTAGAGATCCAGTTCCGGACTTAGATTGCCGTTCATCAGCGTCAGCGACACGGTGGCCGTTGTTACGGCGTTATCGAGGTCATTAAGCAGATGAGTGCGACTATACTTTCGCTCCCGCTCGTTTGGACCATCGAGCAGCAGGTTGGTCAGGTCGACAGCTACGTGCTGGTTGCCGCGGCGACCATTTAGAATGTCGTGCCAGGTCTTGCAAACCCTGCAACAAGTACAGCTCATGTACAGACACATTGTACTAATACTACTAAAGCCTTGAAGGCCTTGAACTAAGGCCTTGAACTAATACTACTAAAGCGGAAGAAAATGTTGTCTGGTCGGTTTAAGCCTTTTTAAGCCGAAAATTTGTGACGAGCTGGATCTGAATTTCGCTGACATTTTTACATCCAGGCGATCTAAACGGTTTCTTAGACTGAGCCGGTATTTCTCCATTCATGCGATCGCAGTTTATGGTTAATTGGTACAGCGAGCGACTCGCCGTACAAAAACGTTTTGCTCCCTAGTACCTACTTTTGAGCACTAAAGACGCTGTGAATGTCTTTTATTTCCAGCACAATCCATTCGTGCAGTTCATATGGCAGCGTTCCCAGGGTCACGGAACGGTCGAAAGTAGTGTCAGTGTTTTCGGAATCCGGAGGTGGTCCGCGTTCAACTGACCTGGACCTCTGCACCAGATATTCCAGCTTCAACTGAACAAAAACGCCCGGTTTGTTTATATAAATACAATGGATGCCTTCGGTGTCCAACCATATCCGCAAAACTTTCATCCAGGAAATTTCGTTCAACCTTCTCAACAAATGCCGTAAATCAATATTTGCCGCATCCTGCCAGCAGTCGAGAGACGCCGTTTGCCTCTGCAGCAGACGGCCGTATTCGGCAAAGGAAAACGACTCATCTGTGTCCTGGTGATTTTCCGGATCGGTCGGCACAATGCGCACCTGGACTGGATGGACGAATTTCCGAATGAGGCCAATGCTGCCCGAGCACGTCGTTTCCACACATATTGGACCGAAATTGCCGCAGCTATCCCTAGCCGCGGGAAAAATAATTTGCGCCGGTTGGAATACGAAGGGCTGGTTGGAGTTTGGCCGCAATGCGACTTCTACCGGAATATGCGGGCGGATCTCGTTAGTACATACAGGCGTATGCCGACGGACTTTCCTAACGGGCAGCCACCGGGGCGGACGGTTATGACAGACAAAGTCCACCAAGACGCGCCGTCCTGCCCAGTCCACGTCGCATAAATACCCCAGAGACGACTGTCCCGCTGCGAATTCGTGAACAACTGGCTGTAGGTTTTTCCCCAAGATTTGACGGCAGTTGCTGTCGTCGGCGATGGTTTCCCGAGCAGCGACAGGAGGGTCTACACGGAGAACGTCTCTGCTGCGGTGTCCGAGGAGTGGCTGCGATTTCCAGGGATTTCGAATCCAACAAGTGAAACGCGCTTTGGTTGATTGCGATGTTGGACCTTGACTGACCATTTCTGCAGTCAAACAAATGAGCTCTGAGGAACACCGATAACTATCAAGTAGGCAGGCAGGAAACGGTTTTCCGGGTAGGCAAGTTGCATTAAGCAGCAAACTGGCAGCGGAAATTGATGTTTACTCTACATTCTACAGAGCTTCCGTGGTTGCGTAACTTGCGAGATCTGTGATCACTGCAAAGTATTGAGATTCTGTCTTAATCTCACATGGATGCCATGCAGTCATTCTGTCGCGGTGTTATGCTTAAATGATATACTTCGAAGTATTGTTAAGTGACTAGTAAGTACTATCTGTGCATTATCGGGTACAGTAAAAAAAACATCAGATAACATTTCAACAGATAACGCTGCTTGGAGAAATTTGGAGAAGGTTAAAAACACAGATTTTCGCGACGATGGTTTCTCCGCTCACTCTCGGCCCCAGTTCTGTCAAAAATTCATGCACACAAACAATTTTACAGTCCATTCGGAAATTTTTAGCGCAGTCACTGTAGCGAGTGTGGTTGTATGCGCTGTATTTGCTGTATTACCACCCCGGCCGCTTTTATCGGTACACTTCCTGGTTTAATCACACCTTCTGCCACGGCATACCGGAAAATGGCGGAAAATCTGAGTGCTAACTCGTGATCACTGACAGATACCACCCTAACATAAATGAATCGACACGGAAATCAATGAGAAAAGCTCGAAAAGTCCCAGATCCCAACTTTCTAAATAAAGAAAACCTTTATTCAAAAAGCGAGAAACAAGACTGAAAAATCATCCGTTCCGGCGAAGCCGCATAACCCGCAAAAATACAGCGCTAACGAACAGGAATGAACATAAATGAACTACCACTGGAAAGAACCAATCATCGCTAAATAACGCCAAAGGCGCGGGTAGTTCTAATAAGTGGACATGGACGGACTGAGTGGACGTAGGGCAGGACAGGCCGGACACTGGCTGGACATGGACGTTGGACACGACGGACACTGGACGGCCTGGCACTTGGACACTGGACGTGCGCGGACACTTGTTCGTTTTAAAGCTTCCAGACTTCAACTAAACTGAAATCGTGAACGACCAGCTCATCGCATAAAATCTCGTCGTGGGACATTTTGTCGGCCATTTTGTGACGCGCGGACAATTAGTTTATGGACATGTCGCAGCTAGACATTTCATCTTGGGACATGTGGTAACACGGAAACTTCGCGCTCAGACATATCGTCGACGGCAGGACAACGGTTACAATACCATCACTAGCGTCAAGCAGAGGTGCTTAATCAACCGCTCGCAAATGCTGACCGCACGCTTCAGTAAGAAAAGTGCAGCCGGGCGGCCGGCTGCGTGCACTATGCGCGACTGCCCGCTGCCCAGCATGCTACATCAAAACAGCCTTGGTTCTAGATTGTGCATGCTGTGTGTGAGCGTATTAAAAAATATAATAATTTGTTATTATTTATTGTGAGGCCGGTCGCTATTGCAGCCCGCCGCGGTAGCAGCTACCGACAGTCTTGCTTCCGGTGTGCCGACTCACAGTCGGAGTCGCACTTTAAGTCGCACGCACTCGCTCAGTCGCACGCACTCGCTGAGCCGATCAGGCGGTGCCGTCGCAATCGGCGTCATCACTCGTGCATGGATCCGCCCAGTGCCGCCCATTGATAGGCTTTTGTTGGCGTTGGCTGGATGTGCCGCGCAGTTTTCACTAGAGTATCGTTGCCATATTCAGTATTGTCCATTTTGCGTTGTGTTGCTTTATTTATCCCAATAAAGCCTTGTTCCTCACTATCGCGAGCCCTCTGTGCCTTGCTGCTTACATAGTTAATTAAAATATAAAAATTTTCTAGCAATAAGTGGTAGGAGTGTTGTGATTTTTTGCGGATTTTTTTAACTTTTTCGTTTTCAAACGACATTGTAACTTGTTTCCAATTTTTTCGCATGTTGTCCTGTAGTTTATTTCAACGCGTTCTTACTGCTGGTCGGCGGAAGTACATTACGTACTATTTTAACAGTACTCATTTGATTAATGTACTGTCTTTGTGCGCTTGTCACTTCCTGATGCCGCACGTTGTTGTACCCGCACTGGGCAGTGGGCGGCATCTTGACCAGTGCCGTCCAGCGAGCATCGGCCGTCCATGAATGCACACAGCAGTTTGGCCCGGCGGCAGCAATGTTCACCTAATCGTACTTCGTTAAAGATTGGAGCGTACATATATATGGCAGCTTTTGAAAGAGGGCAGACAGAACACAGCGGTCCTGTCCAAGGCCAGTATATAACGGGTACCCGTTATATACTGTCCTTGTGCTGTCTCAGTTTAGTCGTAGTTAGATGGCAAAAGATCAGTGATACAGAGATGAGAGGTCTGGCCCCCACATGTTGTAAGCTTCGCCGATGCGATGACTGTGCAAACAAATCGTTCTATTGTCTTGGGACCCCTTGAGTCATAAACCAAGGGATTCCTTGAAATCGGCAGTTGTTATTCGTCGTCTTGTGGCCGACCGACCTTCTGTGGTATATAGAAGCAGGGAGTTCAGCTTGACTACGGTTTAGTTTGCCATGCTTCTGCTCTCGCCCCGTCTCGGTTGTATATGTGGATGCGGCTGCTCGATCCAGTCCAACGCAGCGAGTTGATTGCTACAACGTGCAGGTTCAACTTACAACGTGCGGTAGTTTGTTTCAGTGGGACGAGATGATCAGCACAACCAGGGAAGCTCTAGACTCTAGAGTAAACCACTCTTAACTGCCAGTTTCAGTTGGCCAGGCGGATTTCAACAAAGATAAAAAACTGATTAATTTCAGTGAATAATTTTTCGTTTTTTCATCCGATCAAATCTAATAGTCTTCGGTTTGCCGAAACCCCAATCAGAGATCAGCATCCCGGTCTATAAGCGCTCGCTTTGATCGCTGGATCTGTTGGTCCTGGATGATGTCATTCCCTCGACAAATAATGGAAGTAAACCGAGTAGCGAATCCCCTCCATGCACATGAAATCTTTTCCAGCATTTCGGAGCCACCCGAAGATCATCGTTCTATCGCCGACAACAACAGCAACTGTCGGCAAATCTTGGGAAAAATCTGGAGCCTGCCGTATACCGAGTCGCAACGGGACAGTACTCTCTAGGCTACGTCTGCGATGTTGACTGGCCGGCACGCCGGGTTCTGGTGCATTCGCCTGTCACCGCCCACCCCGATGGCTGCCTATCGTGAAGGTCCGCCAGCATAAGCCTGTCAGCAAAAGTGAAATGCGCCCTGAAACGAAGGTCGCAGCCGCGTGGCGGCCGAAATGCGACCAACCCTACGTATTCCAGCCAGCGCAAATTATCTTTTCCGATACTTACGCCAGTTCCGATCTAATCTGCGTGGAATTGACACCACCGGGTGGCGGTCTACCCATTCGAAAATTCCTCAAACCTATCCAGCTGCGTATTGTGCCGAAATATCCGCAGAACCACCGGGAAATCGATCAATCACTCTCCGTTGTCAAATACTGTCGTTCATTGCATAAACGCACGGCGCGGCTCGATCCATATGTTAATGCCGAAAATATTGATTTGCAGCGCTTATCACAGGCATTAAAAAACCTGTCGTGGATGAAAGTGGTGCGGATATGGACAGAAACCAAACGTGTCCAATGTGTCACACGAAAAACGAACCTGGATTTCTTCACGAAACTGACTTGGGAGATCTAGTCCGCAGATCATACCGGTGTGGCGGCATTTCGCCCGCACCGCTGCCATATTCCGGCGACATTAACCCTTGCGAAAACTGCGCTTCGTTGGGAACGTTGCCGTACGAGCTGCAAGAGTGGATCTTGCTGGAAATCCAAGACATTCACAGCGTCGTTCGTGCTCAGAGGTAAGATGTGAAAATAAGATAAACCAATATCCCATCTAATTAATGCGGCGGCGCCCAGTAAGGCAGAATGTGCATCATCGAGTAATGGTTTGTGTAGCCAAGGAGAACTGGAACGATTCTGATACAAAATATGATTATGAATATCCAATCGAATCGCATATTCAACGCCTTAAGGAACCGTTTAGCTGGTGGAAAAACATATATAAGGTCACCGTGCAGCTAAGATTGCGACGAATAAAATTAAGAAAATACCTTTTCACCAGCTCAGTTGGTTTGATGCTTGGATCATCATCCCGAATCAGGAAAAACGAGAGTACTTAAAGTAAAGTTAGGTTAAAGGCAATTTGGCAAGCTCCCTGTAAAGCAGCAGCCATGCTAATACGTAGAACGGACAGGCACAATATGATAAAGCTATTCGACACTATGAGTTGGGAAACTTGCATTAAAGCATATGTTGCAGGGTTTGCAAGGTCTGGAACGGCATTCTTAATGGTCGGCGCCGCAACCACCACGTTGCTGTTGATCTGACTAATCTATTAGTCAAAGTCAAAGGCGTCCAGGAGCGAGTGTACCTTCAAACCCATCTGGATAACGCCCTCCAGAACGCCGTAACAACGGCCGCCGTGACTCTGACGCTGTAAAACGGCAATTTGACCCCGGAGATGGACATGTACATTGCTCATTGTCTGTCAGTGAAGGCAACGCGTCTACCAGTGATCGTCTTGAAAAATATTCGCTGCTTGCGCGTCATTGATTATGACAAGCACTACGAGATGCAGCGGCTGGAATGGTGTACCCTGGGTTTCGTGATGCAGGTTTGTCAAGTACTGCATCTGCGTGACGTCACCTTCCCTACCGTCTTCGGTCCCATCGCTGGGTTATGGCGCGCGCCGGCCGGTATTGGCCAGGATGTCAATGTTTTGGTGGAGAAAGCTGTGTTGGACTGCTCGCTCAGTAAAATCGATCGGCTGCGGCATTTTACGCGGATTTTGGACGCCGGATACCCAGCGTTGTCCGCCTCTGAATGGGATGTAATTGATCAAGCTTGCCGTGCGATGATTACCGATGCGGAGCAGCCGTTGCGCTGCCGGCTGTTCCTCATGCTAAAATTGTATGTATTTATTGGTTTCATTTTTATGGAGTATGAAGGTCTGACGGAACGGAATTATGCTTAATATATAGTAGCAGTTATCAGTGTATTCTAATTGTTGCTTCTAACGAGCTGATATCTGCAGGCTGAATGAACCGGTAACGGGGCAGCTGCAGCCACCATTGTGCAGTCTTGCCGCCCATGCCTACCGATACTCGTATGAGCCGTATCCTACGGTGAAGCCCTCCATTTCCGCCTCTGCTACCCTGCCCGTTGAGCGTCCCGTGACGCCAGCCATATCGACGGCGTCTGGGCTACATACCGGCATTAAAAATGGGTGTCGTATTCAATAATATTTCTTACCTTGCTCCAATATGTCTTGCGAATGGGCTCAATTTAGCAGACGTCCCGGTTGTCTCGTGAGAACGATAAAAAACCTAAAACAAAAACCAATACGCTACTGTTTGAACCTACATTAGCTGTTCTTATCTAACAAAAATAATCGCTGATTTCATCAAAGGCTCTGGTTGCGCGAATAAATTTGCGAGCTTGTATTTGGCTGAAAGGTCGATAACTCGTTCTGTTCCGTTCTGCTCTGCATTGTTTTCTTGAGTTTTGGTTGATTAAACGTTTGGGAAGGTCTTCAATGTCATGGTTTTATTAATATCTGCTAGGCACGGGAATCCGCTTACCTAGCGGGTGTAGGGAGAATTCGAGCAGCATTCATGGAGTCAAGAGCGATTCTTAAGCTACCTACTCGCTGTTTATGGTTGTCCATCGAGTGCACTGTCACCGCACGACTTCCGCATTCCATTCCGTGCGTATTTGTACAAATACATACAGTATTTATATGCTGTGTAATACTATACTAGTCGTTTTACACCTATGTTGTATGTTGTTGATTTGCGGAATTATATTCCCCTAGCAAGCCTCATTTACGAAAAATACATATTTATCCGACCAACGACTGCCGTGTGGTGAAATACCATTTTTGCAGCGTCTCTGTACATTACCATACTTATAGATCCATCCGACTGGCTCCATCCATCCGACCATCAGATGAAGGGGTTTATGGAGGCTTTTCTGTGCGGTTTTTGAATTAGCAGGTCGGACCAGTACTGCGAAAAGAGAATTACACAATTCCAGAGCAAACTCTGACAGAGTTCCTACCTGGTAAATGTTGGTTTTACTAGAAAATCGATGACTTTGTGACCTTTGATTCAATCGGGCATCATTAGCTGGATGCGGTTAGTTCTATGTTTTTGGCATCTGTACGGAACCAGGACTTTAGAAAACTACAGGTTCAGGTAAAAACAAACCGTCGCAAAATTCGCGTCTAAGAAGGGTTATAAAAGAGCGTTTCCACGGTGTTTGAAATGCACCTTCGCTGATCGCGGCAGTAAAGATTAATATAAGCGGTGTTAGAATGGATAATGCTGCGATTTTAGAAAGCTGCTGGTTATTTCGAGCTTCCAACTGGATCTTGTGACAGAAATCTTTGCTACCTCCTCAAAAATCAATTGTCAAAAAATTACCCATTTGTCATGGTACATTTTATTCAGTGCGTTAGCTTTTTCGCTGTCGCTGTGGTGCCGTTTGCTAGCGTACGTGGTGGCATTCCGGTGCGCCCATAATATAGTGGTCGTATGACTGTTAATCGGGGTGTAAGAATATTAAATTGTGTACGAGTATATCATATACGACTAATACGAGTATGTAGTACAGTAGCCCAATAAATAGTTTCATACATTAGGCGCTGTTTACAGGCGCCGAACTGCAAAAGCGAAACTGCAACATCACAAACTCATCGTACGGTAATCACATAATTAACTCGGTTGCCGTATTCACAGTACTTCTGTCCATTGGCTGGTTTATAAATTACATTAAAGTTCCTCTACGTGCCAGTTCAATACACAGCCGGCACTCACTTTTCCGATTCGCACTATCACACGCTGCATCCTGCGCATCCTGGAACTGATCAGCTTGTGGGGTGCGCTACGTACTCCAAGCTTGACAACTTCCGCTTTACTACACCGCGCGCCTTTATCGGTAGACTTCCGGTTCAGTCACCCTCTCCGCTCTCGCCGCGAGTCAGCGGTACGCGGGCAAGGTTGAAGGTTTCATGTGTGGATGCGGCTGCTCCAGCAAATTATCAATAAGCTGTTACGCATCCATTTGATCGATACAACGTACAGGTTCAACGTACAACGTTCGTTAGCCGTTTTCATTGGGGCGAGCGGATCAGCACAACCATGGAAGCTCTTGCGCAAACCACAACAGCCAGTTTCATACCATTTGCCAGGCTATTTTCAACAAAGCTGAAAAATTATTAGTAATTAATTTGCGATAAATAATTTTATGATTTTCATGGGATCCAATCTAATGGTGATTGGTTTGCCGAAACAGCCAACCAGATCTCAGGCATCCAATCGACAAACACGCGCTTCGATCGCTTGATCTATAGATCCTGGAAGCCGTTGTCATTCCCTCGACAAAGCTGCAACATGGAAGCAAATCGAGTAGATCATCTTGTTCCTGCTAAAGCAATCGCGTCCACCATTTTGAAACCTCCCGACGATCATGGTTCCATCGCCAACGCCAGCAGCTGTCGGCAAATCTTGGGGGAAAATCTGCAGCCAGCTATATGCGAGTTACCAGGGGACAGCATTCTCTATGCTACGTCTGCGACATTGACTGGCCGGTACGTCGAGTTCTGGTTGATTTCGCCTGCCGCCGCCCACCCCGTTGGCTGCCCATCGTGAAGGTCCGCCAGCATAGGCCTGTCAGTATAAATGAAATGCACTCTGACACGAAGGTCGTAGCCGCGTGGCGGCTGAATTGCGACCACCCCTACGTATTCCAACCAGCGCAAATCATCTTTTCGGATACTCACGCCAACTCCCGCCTAATCTGCGTGGAAGTAACACCACCGGGCGGCGGAATCCCCAATCGGAAGTTCCTCAACCCTATCCAGCTGCGCATTGTGCCGAAATATCCGCAAAACCATCGGGAAATCGTTGAATCACTCTCTGTTGTCGAATACTGTCGTTCCTTGCATAAACGGACGGCGCGGCTCGATCCCTATATGGATGCGGAAAATATTAATTTGCAGCCCTTGTCACTGGCATTGAAAAACATACCGTGGATGAAAGTGGTGCGGATATGGGAAGCCACCAAATGCGTCCAATGTGTCTATACGAAAAGCGAACCTGGCTTTCTTCACGAAACTGACTTGGGAGATATCGATCTAGTCCGCAGATCGTACCGGTGTCGCGCCAACGCGCTCGCACCGTTGCAATATTCCGACGACACGAAAACCACTGCTCTTCTGGGAAGGTTGCCGTACGAGCTGCAAGAGTGGATCTTGCTGGAAATCCAAGACATTCACAGCGTCGTTCGTGCTCAGAGGTAAGATGTGAAAATAAGATGAAACAACATCCCATCTAATTAATGAGGCGGCGCCCAGTAAGGCAGAATGGGCATCATAGAGTAATGGTTTGTGTAGCCAAGGATGACTGGAACGATTCTGCCACAAAATATGATTATGAATATCCAATCGAATCGCATATTCAACGCCCAAAGGAACCGTTTAGCCGGTGCAAAACATATATATAAGGTCACCGTGCAGTTAAGATTGGGACGATTAAAATTAAGAAAATACCGTTTTACCAGCTCGGTTGGTTTGATGTTTTGATCATCATCCCGAATGAGGAAAAACACGATTACTCCAAGTAAAGTTAGGTTAAAGGCAATTTGGCACGCTCCTGTAAAGCAGCCATGCTAATACGTAGAACGGACAGGCGCAACATGATAAACCTATTCGACATTATTACTTCTCTTTCAGTATTGTGAGTACTTGGGAAACTAACCTATGCAGCATATGTTGCAGGGTTTGGAAGGTCTGGACCGACATTCTTAATGGTCGGCGCCGCAGCCAGCACGTTGCTATTAATCTGACTAATCTACTAGCCGAAGGCAAAGGCGACCAGGAGCGAAAGTACAACCGAACTCACCTGCGTAACGTCCTCCAAAACGCCGTAACAACGACCACCGTGTCTCTAACGCTGCAAAACGGCAGTCTCAGCCCAGAGATGGACCTGTACATTTTTCGGTGTCTGTCGATGAAGGTCACGCGTGTGCCTATGCTCGTCTTGAAAAGTAGTCGGTCCTTTCACGCTATTGAGAAGCACTACGAGATGTCGCGGTTGGAATGGTGCAACCTCCGCCACTTGATGCAAGCTTGCCAAGTACTGCATCTGTGTAACGTCACCTTCCCTACCGTCTTCGGTCCCATCGCCGAGTTGTGGCACGCGCCGGCCGGTATTTGCCAGGATGTCGATGTTTTTGTTGACAAAGCTGTCCTGCACTGCACGCTCAGTGAAATCGATCGGTTGCGACATTTCTCCAGGGTTTTGGACGCCGGATGTCCTAAGTTGTCTGCCTCCGAATGGGAAGTAATTGACCAATCCTGCCGAGCGATGATTAGCGGTGCGGAGCAGCGGTCGCGCAGCCGGCTGTTCTTCATGCTACAACTGTATGTACGAGTATTTACAAGTGTTGTCCCAACTACCACGAAAATAAAGAAGCACAAATCGGGCATGTTCTGTAGTATTATATAATTCCGGATGATAATAATTCCGTCCCGCATTTTATTGCTCTAGGCGCAGTCAAGTGATTATGTATTCGTAATAGTGCAATCATGGGAGAGTCAGTGTGGTCTATATGACGCAAAAAATGATTTCCTTAACGAAGGCCAAGCCGGCTTTGTCGCGTGAAAGTGAATGTAAGCTTTACCAATGAAATTTTGGTTAGCTGGTTTTATAGCTGTGGCGGTCCGGTGAAAAGGGACTTATTGCTTTATGTGAGAGCAGGCTGAGCAGCTACCACAACTGATACTTTAACGAGCTGATATTTGCAGGTTGAATGAACCGGTAACCGGGCAGCTGCAGCCACCATTGTGCAGTCTCGCCGCCCATGCCTACCGATACGCGTATCCTACGGTGAAGCTCTCCAGTTGCGCCTCGCCTGCCATACCCGTTCAGTGCCACGTACGCCAGCCACACGGACGCCGTCTGGCGCATATACCGGCAATAAAAGTGGGTGTCGTATTCAATAAATACTTTTGGTAAAGCTCCAACATGTCTTGCGAGGGTTCCACAGTCATTCTGCTTCGGTGATCAGCGAACATGTTTTAGTGGCCAGTGCCACACATCCACTGTGCTGGATTTCGGTCGGACACGGCAGGGGATGACTCAGTCGGTTAACTAACAACAGTCATCGAATATCATTAACATAGTCTAACTTTGCTGGATGAATTCGAATGTAATATTGCATGGAAATTAAAATGCCCGGCGTACCCGCTCCTATGTTGGTTTGAAAATGCATTCCGATAGCAAGTCGCTGAATACAAGTAATGTTGTTCTGCTTCTCCGGTTGGTGCGTGGCACTAGTCGGTTTTTACACACTGCGACCATCTACGGTTGACAGTTGTGCCAACCGCTAGTAGACATCGTGTTCGGCTCAAGGTTCTGCGATATGTGTAGTGGGTAACTACTTCCGACTCGAAGTACCACCTCCTCGTAAGGCAACTCAACAACAACAACCGACTGAAGATAGAGTTCGCCAATTCAAAACGGCAGGATGCGAAAAACGATCGGATTTCTGACGGAGCACTGCTTCGAACGATGAAATGCTATAAGCGTGCAATATCGTTGAATTCTTTGCTCTGACGAGAATTAACACCCCGAGACATGGGTCCCGAAAGTTAAAGATACAAATCGCAAAAAGTTAACGATAGCGTCGCCAGCAAAAGGTGACAACAATATCAATGTTTCTAAAAAGCAGGATCGGCAATGCATCGAGTGCCGCAGGTTTATTTTTCAAAAATTTGGATTGAATTTCCCGGTACTCAGTAGTCAGTACTACGGGCATAGCGTTGCTCCTAGTCCTTATTGTACAGATCATACTTTAGTACACCGAGTACGTTACTATGATCTGTTATTCAAGTATTCGTTTCTGATTGGGACGGAAATAATTGCACCCGTCCCGAAATCGCATAAATGAACAACAGCTCTGGGCTGTTGATGCGTCGCTGGTACGTCGTTCAGAGGAAGTCGAATTTGATCGGTTTCAGTTTACGATCCAATTACATAAACACAACACATCAGAGTTTATTGTAAATTGTAATCACATATAACTATCCACTTACGAGTACGGACACTGTGCAAAATTTGCTAAGCTTCAACAAAAGTAACACAGGATTATAAGAAAAGGAAACAAATAATTGTCGTGATAACTTTCATCTGACACGGAGGTGACCAATGCGCAGTCTTATGAGTTTCCTACTGCTGAAAAAACAGGTTTTCTCACACTCCGATCTGTCAATAAAAGCAGCTTCTGGTGAATACCGCCCCAACATGTAGGGTGTATAACTTCCTGGACCAAATAGGCCGAAATAAGTACAAAGCTCGTTATACACAGTAAAATCAATCACCAACGCAAGCCAAGAGCTCCGGTATCCAGTAGACGTTTCCTCTCGGAGAAACTTGCACTTTGTCATTTCCGCTCTTTCCCGTCTTTGGACTTGCTCCACGCATCCACTAGAAAATTGAAGTACTGTTATAAGCATCATCAGAAATTATCGTCCCAAGCAGCTTCGACGCCTCCAGCGCCACAGTCAAGAATTCACGCGAGGTCAGCGGCATCCAGTGAACGCTTTCTCGAATTCTTATTCTTGCGTTTGCTGCTAGGAGTAGTAGCCTTAGCCTTCTTCCACGCTTCCACTCGAGAATGTTCAAGAATATCTGGCTGAACTTGACCGTTTCTTCTTTACCGCTCATCTTAATGATGTGCTGGTCCCCGGTCATTCGCACGTACCTGGCATCCCTCACACGGTTCGCATAACCCGGAACGGGATAGACAACATGTTGTTTGGCCGCCAAGATATCCGATGCGCGGATTAGGTCGCCCAGCGGAATGTGGCTCATTTGCTTTGGATTTGAGTTGCGTAAACACAAGACCAGCGAGCCACGTGCACCGACTACAACAGTGGGACGCCAGTAATGCGATTTCTGCACGAAAACGTTTTCCTTGTGCTGAAATTCCACATCCCCGACACGGATGACCGGGGCCGTTCGGGGTTCCATCGGGAAGCGCTGTTTATCATGGCGTAACTCCGATAATTCTGATGCTTCCAACAGCCCACACTGTAAACAGAATTTGGTCCATTCAATAATTACACATTCAAATTTTAATGCAGTGCAAAACCAGAACGTCAAAACTTACACCGTTTGACCATCATAGCTCAACAACATGGTATATCTTAGAAGTATGTTGTCTGAGATAGTATTAAAAAAAGGAAATTTACAAATACCATAAGGAACGGCCACGATCTGCTACATAAATGTTTTTGTTTCACTGTATTCAATAGTTAAGCGCGTTCTAAAAGGTGCAGTAATTTTCGATCTTCAGATCGGATCATGAATGGCTGGAAGTCTGGAAGGGTTAAACAGCTTTCACCGCCTTACATCTGCCGCCAAGTCAGCCACTTGACTGTCAGTCATCGCTGGGAATCGAATCAGGTAAAACAGTTCTCCAAGGACTTCGCGCCGGTTAGCAGGTGAAAACTCCAGATCGTTGCGAATGCAGGCAGCCACCGCCCACCTGCGAAAATATCCCCGTCAACCGTTGCTACGGTTACAACCGCGTATACACATTAACCTTACCTCCTGGCTCCTTCGATTACCAAGAACTCACTACCAGCTCGTATTTAATGCTACCGGGTGAACTGCCGTACCAACGAAAGACCACTCAGTCTGAACTGCTGACTATTCCTGTTCTACAACTTCCAGTCAGTTTTTTATCTGGCTTTCTGCGAACACGGTGTGACGGTACATCCGTTATTTTTGTACAAGAACAGTCAACCTACTCAGGTCCTGCTGTAGTAACTACTGTAAAAAACATTCAGTTTAATTAGTTTCAAATCCGCGCGTCGTATTTGTATGGGTACTGGCTATTGCCAAATAAAAACGAAAAAAACCTGCTGTAGTTGTTTACTTACCGATCGGCAGCCATGCAGATGAGACTTTCTTCAGCAAACAGCGTATCGCGTTCCAGAATAGCGCGCAGCGTGGCGGGCTGCAATTCAGTAAACCGTTGCGACTTGAAGACTTCCTCACAGTGCACGTCCACGAAGTGGAGACAGTTTTCCACGACGCTGTCCAAACCAACAGCCCAGGTCAGCGCCTATACAGAATTAAACTGAAACCGAGCAAATACCAAAAATTAACGGAGGCAGATGAATATGAGCTGTTCATACATTTTCAAGATGCAGTAACAAACGATCAGGATCTTCGTCGTTCTTGATGAGATCCTCCATTATAAAATTGAAGCAGATGTCGGCCAGCAGGCTGACATCGTACTTGTCGGCGCTGACGGCGCATTGCAGCGTCGGAAAGACATCAGCCTTTGTCATACCCTCTCCATCGCCATAAATATATCTATTACAAGCCATAATGTACATTTCAAATAACCGATAAGTATTAGCTAACAATTGTAAACTCAAGTCACCGAACCGTAGCTATTCCAGCCTTCTCTCTAACTTACATGTAGTTGCTCCTCTACTTTCAAATACTGTAGTGCTCATGCTCTTTATTTTGATTCTCTTGATGAAACCAAGAAAAAAGTCGGAAGGCTACTCACGTCAGCATATTTCGGAATGCTTTAGGATGAATGTCCGGAAGCTCAATGACATCGTTGCCCTTCTCTGGCAAACTCCCGTGAAACATAGTATAGAAGACATCGCTTCCGCTGCTTAGCACGAACCTGTTCAATTGACGGACCATGGAGAACTTTTGGTTATATTCAGCGAACCAGCGTTATACCAGCAGGTACGACATCAACTTACTTGTGTGCTTTGAAGATTTTCGCTGGTCCAAAATGTCGCCCCACGGAAAACTCCACGTCACTCAGATCACCGCTCTTTAGCATCTGCTCCATCCGCTTGTCCACCCCTTTAATAGCGCCCCGTCGTGGGGGGCTTTCTTTTGTCGATAGTGTCGCGTTTTTTGGCATGTCTGTAGTTTCACGTTGGGATAAAGTCCTATTCTCAGATCTCAGTCCGATAGCTTTTCACGTGAGTGGCAGCTGTTACTACTGTAATTACACATGAATGGATGCAGAAAGTTCTTATCGAGGTCTAACGATGCCACCTCTAACGTTGACAAAGGACAACTCAACATCCACAAACTACTCAAGGTACAACCTGCCAATTCGAAACGACAAAACATGAAAAATTATCGAAGTTCAGACGAAGAACTGCCGCAAAATGCGGTACGAGTATTCGTTATGAGTTCGCGTTCTGACATGCGCCGTTACGGACTGCTTAGTGCATACTGCATACCATGTGACACCGGCACCGCAAAAGATGATTCGACAAACCGCGGCCCGTGCGAGGCTAACCTGTATCTTAACAGTGTACCCAGGCCACCGCCCGTGACAGCTCTTGTACGTTGCAATCGGTTAGATACCAAGTTAACCAACATCCACAGTTCCACACTCATGCATCACCTAACTCGGGACTCGGGCGTGTGTGTGCAAGCAACATTGCCTCTCCAGCAATGAGCAAAGGTCTCCGTGATGCTTGATGTGGCGATACTGTATACTGTAGGAAACTGGAATACCGTGCACGGTGCGAAAGCTGCCGCCGGATGAATATTATTTCCGGTGCAATCTGCAACGAATACAAAAAAAATCGATATAAGGGGGGAACACCGCTTTATTCAAACCATTTCCCTCTTCTGCTGCCATCACTCGGATGGAGTGTGACGTTGTGACATGTGACATATGGCGCTTATGTACCGGGCCGGAATTTTACCATATGTCAGCCATGCACAAAAGAGTCGCGTAGCCTTTCTGCCAACGCTTTAATTTGTCTGTGTACAACCAGATACTGAGAAAACACTTCGTGGCCGGAACCGGGCGGGATTCATTTGGACACATGTTCGAAATCCCTGTAGTAGTGCCAAAAAACCATCTGGAAACAAAATCGACATGGCAAAGTGTGCGCTTTGTGACCTTTCTTTAGTGTATTTGAAATGTGGTTTGTATTTTGCTAATTTCCGGTTAGGTAAAAGTCCATAAGTCTAACCGCACAAAGTAAACTAAGGGGCCGCTACTAAAAGGTTACAACAATATTAAAACCTTCAGAAAAACATGATCTGTAGTGCATCAGATACCGACTGCTACGGCAGTATGTGAATTTATACCAGAAAGTGTTTTTCAACTGAATGACGATAATTTTTCGTGTTCTACCCCGATTTTCGTTGTTACTAGGTAAAACGATGAACCTAATATTCGTATTGGTTTTATAATAGCTAACTGGTGCTTTTTGCTAGCCTCCCATCCGCAGGTGCGCGGTTATTACCGTATAAAAACTGGGAAGTGCGTTTGCAGCACTTTGGGACAACACTGGCACGGTTTCGCACATCATGACATGTACATTTCCGGCAGCATGTACCTTTCCAGTGCATTGTGACAACACCGGCCACTGTCGTTGTAAATAAGTAATTGTAAGAAAAACCCGGATAGAGTACACTCGCACGTTAATCAAGTGACGTGTACTGGCGTCCCTTAGTACACATCGGTACTACTTTACTACTTCTACCCCTACTATTAAGGCTTAGGCTTTACTACAACTTCTACGCGAGTCCTGACCCCGAGTCTCTAGTTCGACTTCTTAGAAATCTTCAGCAGAGAACTTTGACCGCGACTTGCCATTTCGACGTGACCGCGCTTCGATGACGTAGCTCAACCTATTGTTCTAGTGTATTAGCTGACCTCTTGTTCTCATTAGTCCACGTGTAGAGATGCAGCGGTGTGATTAGTCCACGTGTCCTTAGATGTCTCTTATTGGTTAGCGTGTAAATCCCTATTGTTCTCAGACCCGTACCTGCGCGTACGAAGAGCCAGCACTTGCGGTGCCCAGGGCTATATAAGGCGCTCGTCGCCCACAGAAATGTCAAGAGTTGTAATCCCAACAAAAGTAGAGTCTTGTTACTCGATCTGATTAACTTCAGGCTTTTGCTCTGGTCTTCTCTTTCCAAGTGAGGCTGTTCAAACTGACCTCTGGGTGACCTTTCACCTATTGTCAGGGGTCATTCCTCTACTTCGTCGACGTGCATTATCATCTTCGGATAGTCTCGTGACGTAACAGGCTACCCACTTGATCCCACTTGTTTGCCGTGACCTTTCGGTCCCTTCGATCTTCATGCCCTGTAGCGCCAGGTTGATGGAATTCTCATACGCTTCGGCTACCATCTAGCGTCGGACAGGTAACGTATAACTTCTCGCATCCTTGTGTTTTCCTTTCGTGTCTTCTCTTTCAGCAGGCTTTCGGGTTCCGGATCCTCTTCTTCATCCTTGCATATCATCTCATACTTGTACATCAACATCCTTAACCTTTCGCTCCATGAATTACATAAGAAGTTGAGATAAGAGTCGCTCTATTCCTCCGACTGGTCGTGGTCCGGGAAGTGCATTTCACCATCGCATACAACGTCGTTTTATTTCTTGTATTCTATATTGCACGACACAAGCTTGAGATCCACGAAGCAAATCGCCCAATAGCTCGGCTGCTCGATTTTTACCAAACCGTGTCCAGATGCAGTAAGGTAAGTTTAGACCTCACGATCACGCAACCAAGTATTCAGGGTTAACGAGGCGTCATCGTCGACTACCCAAAAATTCCTCTCAAATCAGCATTTTGTTGCCGGTTAATTAATCTGCGTTCCAGTATGCGCAAGCAGCGCAACCCGTATTGTAGCGCAACATAGCGGAAGACGGGATTAATTAAATAAGCTGGGCAGAACAGGCAGTACTGTACTTCGTATAATTACACACCCTCCTAGTGGAGCATCTACAGAATTACTCGCGCTAATCTTCAATCGGATGTTACTGTGCCTGGCCAAAATACAAAGATATCTATAGATCAAAGAAACATTTCGATGCGATACTAATTAACGCGTCACGTGCTCCAATGAGCATGACAACAGCAGGTGCACTGTCAAGTTGTGTAAACTGCTTCTCAGCTGCGTAGCCTTGCTGTGGTCATTGGCGACATGTGTCTGCTTGAAACGCATTCCCGACGAAATTCAATCTCTGTATTCCTCAGGGTTAATGCTTAACGTACGAGAGCTGGTTAGAGAAAAAATACCGTTCTTTTAGAACCAGTGGAAGTGCGACCTGAGGTTTTAAATCACGCTTAGGAATTCTGCCTGAGATCATGAATTTTACTAACGATTTTCTGTTACTTTTAAGGTGTACAACATGATACTGGCCGTATCGCCATGGGACGGGTGTAATCAGAGTGTTGCAGATTTCCGGAAGATTGGTGAAGTTCTGTTTGCGACATAGTGCTCGATCTAAACCTGAATCATTTTGACCAATGTCTACTAGCACAACGTTGTAGTTGTGCGAACTGGTTGCTGCCCAATAAACATTAGAAACCTGTAACCAGGTCGTTTAAAAATGTACCGGCATAGCGCTCGTTCCAGTGTCCTGTGCACAATTTTGATTATTCGGCTGGCACTCAGCCAAGATCAGCCCTCCATCCCGATCACTATTGCCCCGACGCTGGAGGTGCGGGTGGTCAGTCTGCAGATACGGGAGCCCAGCGTGGCGGTCGGGCTGGTGTGGATGGGCGGCGCCCTGCAGCTGGCCGTGCAGCGCGCCAACGAACGCTATGCGCAGCGTGGACTGCGCTTCGTGGTGCACCCCTTGGACGTCATGATTAACTACACTTGCCCTCAGACGGCCGCCGAGGGGATTTTCCACCTGGCCGACTATTACTATCGTCACAACCTGGACCAGCATTGGTCGGGCACCTGCGACCTCTACTTCACCAATAGTAGACCAGTGCTGCTTTAGTTGCAAAAATGCAGGCTTGTTGGTAAGATGGTTCATTTTGCAGGTTGCATGGACTATTTTCAGATGCTGTCCTTATCCAGCGGTAAGCTTACTAACGCCTGCTCATAAACCCCAGTAGCCTCATGATGCGTGGTTTTGTGTAACCGGCAAAACCGTCCAGCGCGTAAGCACATTCCAATAAAGTGTCTGGTTGCGCTCCGGCGTAACGCGTCAGTTATCAATTCTGTGCTTTCGTTTCGCTTCCCAAAAGGTCGCTTGCACAAGTATATTTGATTCGCATTGTTTGCATTAATTATTCTTTGGACGGTGATCGGTTTTCCTGGTTTAACGGCAAAGTTACCCGGCATACGGTTAATCCCGTCCGTACGGTTTTGCTTGCCACAGTTGTTACAACGTTTTATGTTTCACAGAATGGAATGCCTTCTTTTTCAATAAGTAAGATTTCTTTCCGGGAAAGAAGTGGCGCGGCGCTGTATGATACTCGTTTATACCATTTCCAGCGGTATCGCGGTATCCGTCCCGCCGAGGTCTACTCCTACGTATTTGCTGAATCTGGCCGGCAGCGGGGTGGACGCGATGCGGACCGTGTTTGGTATCCTCCGCTACTTCGGCTGGTCGCGAGTGGCTTTCCTGCTCGACACGCGCGCCACTACAACTTTCTATGGTAGTCTGCTCAATGCCGCCAAGGCGCTCTCGCTGGCCAGCAAAGTCCCCATTGGCTCATATCCCTTCCTGCCCAACGACAACACCTCTATTGTCAACGGTCTGCTCCGCGCCCAGGAGACTAGCCGTGGTACGTTAGCAATTAGCCAAGCGTCTCCTTTGGGAAAATGCGCTGCGCTGTGGAGGTGCATTATTGAACATCCTCTGTTTCGCTTAAATGCTTTCCGTGTTGCAGTTTTCTTCCTGGCTGCCTCTGCGTCCGTAGCCTGCCTGATAATGGTACGTAATACTTAAGTATACGTAGGTACAAGACAAGCCCTTCTAAGCGTACTCTAACAATTATTATACTTGTGAAAATGCGAATTAACAGTAAGCCACAGAGCAGTAGCGATAAAACCGCTTATTAGACGGGATGCAATGGCATATTTTAGTCACACATCTCATGATTTGCCTATCTTCCTCTTGTTCCTTCTCTTCGCAACAAGTTCACACCGATGATTTGCTAAACATCATCTTACGGACCGACAAATCGAAAATCTGAAAAACACTATATTAAACCAAACCAAGAAAAACTAGGAAAATGTTATTCAGCACAGCGTAGTCAACGAATTTGCAGTAGATTGGTCGACAAATTACCGGCAAGCTGACAAAGTCACAGAACTTGCTACCCGCTTTGGGACTGGTTTAAACATAATGT